GCATCAATGAATAATGAAGATATACTTTTTCCAATAGCTGATTGTAATCTTGTTATTAAACATAAAGCAACCGGAGGACATAGAAAATCTGTTCAATATAATCGACGTCCATCTTCTCCACATCCTCATCCTCATTTAGATAATTCAAATAATTTATCGAATTCAATGTATTCGATATCGAGTGGTTATACTGAAGAAGCTCATCTATCGGGTGTATGTAACGAGAATGAGCTTATGGGTGGAAGTACAGACGATGCAGTCTATGTATAAAAAAAAAATGTTTTCTCTTTTTTTTTCTTTTTTCTTTTGTCCTCTTTTTCTTTTTAGAGATCTTGTAACAGAGTTTCTAAATATATTTTTTTTTCTTTTTTTCTTTTCTAATTGTTGTGTGCGCGCACGATTGGTTCGTTTTAGTGTTTATTCTATCGTTCCATTCACATAGCGTACACAAGATGTGTTTTCACTGTTGGTTAACATCACCTGCGAGTATTCAATTTTTTTCTTATTTCAAATTCTTTTTTTTTTTCTTGATCTTTTTTTTTGTTCTCTTTTTTTTGTGATTCTTCTTCTCTTTTTAGTTGTGTAAATTATTTGGTGAGGTTCTGTTTGAAATCAAAAAAGAAGAAAAAAAAGAAAGAAATATAGATACAAATGATGATATATTATGCAACATGAAATTTATATATATATATATATAGGTAGTTCGGTTTCAGGTGGAACAAGAGCAAGAAAGAGAGAAATGCTTGACATTTTTTCATGTGTGTGAAATTAGATCTTGACCCATATTGCATGTACATGCGACAAACGATTGAGTCTATAATGTAGGAGCCTGACTGGGATATATAATTGTATGGTTCGCAAGACGAAATAATGCACGCATACATCTATGGCTATTATAGCTGATGATGTAATCACTGATAGTTGGTAAATTGATGAAATGATTTATACAATTTGATGAGAGAAGAAAGACGAGAAGATTTGATCAGTCTAAATTATAAATAAATAGTTTTTTTTTTCATGTGGATAATTATAATTTGAAATAGAAGGTGAATGAATTTTTTCTTTTCTTCTTCATTTGTTTATATATAATATCACTGAGTACACCCAATTAGAGCGACGGACATATAGTGAATAGATGTTCATCTATAATCCAAACTGACAATGAATAAGCATACAATTTAAAAATTGTCTAGTCAGTAAGAATATAAGTGAAGTTCATGAAAAAAAAAAGAAAAAAAGAAGACCAGACATTGTCAAGAAGAAGAACAAACAAATCTCACAACTAATTGGCATTGAAGTGCGAGGAACAATGATCATTGTGCTAGCGGATAGACATAGATTGTTAGTTTTCATGTATATCATCAAATATGACTGATGACTAGTGTTTCTAATGATAAAGCAAACTAAGAAAAGAAAAAAAAAAAAAACAATTCTCATACATTTATATTATTTATTAAATGAGTCTTGACTAAATATTACTGAGATATTTAATTGAATTTATTTAAACAATAAAACATATCTCAAGTGACAATGAAACAGAAAATTGAAACAACAAATGCTCGTGGGAAAAGAATATATCGACAATAAGATGACAGTTTATGTTATATAATACAAAATTGATGTACCAAATCTTCTTTTTTTTTTTTTATATTCTCGATAAGGAATATGTATTAACAAGGATTAAGTTAATGTATGAACAAAGTTTAAGATCAAAATTCAATTATTTTATTTTAATCAAACAATGTTATTGTAAAGAATACTTAATCTTTTTAAATTTAAATTTTTAATCAATAAATTGACATTTCATCATTTTTCTTTGGCCTTCATAGCAAATGTTGCTTTTATAATTATCCTACCATAAAATAACAAAAGAATATTACAAATTACACAATACAAATACACAAGAAAAGTTTTTCTTTTGTTATAGATGAGTAAAAGACAATATTTTAAGAAGAATATTGTATGATAATTATCATAAAAATTGATTAAATAAAATCTAATAAGTCTTTTTGTTTATTTAAAAAAAAAGGTTCATCAACTATAATATACTCTTTTTAGAATAAATAATAATCGATAATTGAAACGTCCTACATATATTTAATTAAACTAATTCTTCTTCATTGCACTTATCATTAACTTCATTGTTTACTAAGTTGTCTTTCATGAATAATACTATCTCTTTTCTTATAACATCACAAGTGGTATATATTTGTTCATTTTCACTGATTGAGTATGCCTTGAAACAAGAAATAATTATTCATTATCATAAACATTCTTTAGCAATAACTACAATTAGTAGTATAAAAGCTGATCGAACTACATAGTTTATATACAAGAAAAAAAAGGTCAATGAAAATAAGTATTGTCAGAATTTGTTCGTTAGAATGTTTTCAAGTATACAATGAATCGAATACATAAAATAACTAGTTTGAAAGAAATATAAGGTCATAACTGTCATATAATAGATTTCAAACAGAGTACGAACGCTCGCAAATGGAATATAACATATAGGGGAATTGAACAAGACTTTATTTGAAATATTTACAGAGGAAACAACTTGATGAAAAAAATTTTTTAAAAAAAGGCACAAGAAAAATATCATCAAGTTGAAAGGATTATTCAGAATTATTATTTTTTCAACGTTTTTTTTTATAACTTATCGCCTGTCTGCGTAAGAATTTCAATATGATGAGTGATTTGTTGGATTGTTTACATCTTTTTTCGTTTTGTCGGACGATAAAATGAAACATGTCGCTGGTGTTGGTTCTTGTGATGTAACTATATTACTTTCCTGAAAACATGGAAAAATTTTAAGCATCTATATGATCAATCAACAGAAGAACATATAAAAAATAATAACATAAGATAGGGTGCGTTAGAGCCTGTCAAAATCTATCAAGATTTATTACAGCACATAAATTAAACCACAGTAGAATAGCAACTTGCGAAATTCTTGCATGTAGAATCCAGTTCTCCCTCATTATCAGTACAAAAATTTAGTGGTCAGCAACTATTATATTTGCTGTATAAATTAATAATTTATTCAACAGTAAAATTCAAATATCAGAAACTAATTTAGTTTTTTCATTAAATGAATAGTAATTGTATCAATAGTCATTTTTATTTTTTCAATAAAAGTCATAATTATCCAAATAAAGAAATGCTGCTCTAGGGTGACTGAGAATGATATCAACAGGTGAAAACATTTTGTATAATATCGTATTATATTCATGTATTTTTTTCTACTTTCATTTCCTTTCTTTCGCTTTAACGTATTTTCTAAAGGTTCTGTTTTTTTGTTTTGATACAGTACAAGTAATTTTTCTATCATCATACATTCTTCGAAATGTTATTGGATTTTTCCTAATTCGTTGAAATATAGATATGTAGGTGGGATTTGGAAAATAAAGAACATAGCTTTGTGTTGATTTGTTCGATTAATCATCCAGTTACCATATTATATCTAATTTGGTTTTAAATATGGCACTAGCAAGGAAATTGTTGTAGTACTAACTTGCATTTCTGCTTGAGTGATTTACAAATGAAGACAAGAAAAGAATAACAATAAGACAATGAAATAATGTAAAAGAATTTATGTTTAATAATGCTAAAGAAGCTGAAAACGTAACACTATCTATTTCAAAATATGATGTGCTTTACTAGTTTTTAAATAACGTTTGACGAGACAGAATTGAATTATTGAATGTTGTAAATAGATTTGTAGAGATAATTGAATGATACGCGTCGGCTTTTTTTTCTTATTCCTTCACATTAATTTTGATTTTATTTTTTGTTCTTCTTAATTAAAATGATAAAATTACAAACGTCTTCACAAAATAAAAATCAAAGCATACCGAACCATTCAAAACATGCAGTCTTATCAATATGAAGATGTATATTTTCAAGTCACTTCTAATTCCATCAATATTGTTCCATATGTTGAAAAAATCTGTATCGTCAGCAATAAATCATACTAACCGAAAAATAGAAAACATTTTTCATGTCTATCAAAAACATTGACTTCACATCTTCGTCCACTGAATGGTATCGAGTAGAATTGCAACACTAGTCAGCTCTATATCTGTTGTGTATTCATTCTCCTTGCCTAGTGAGACATACTCTCGTTCAGTCATGAGCTTATGTAAACTTGCACACAAAAATCAATGAATTAACAATAATAATCCATCATCAAGAATGTATGTGATATCTTGAGTAAACTTACAGTTTCAGAGTTAGGCTCTATTCTGAATTTTCACAGTTAAATTGAATCGTATTAATATACACCAGTGTCATTCATTATCAGCTAAGAATCATTTAGGCCATAAACATCGACCTGACAGGTCATCAGATCAATCTCACAGTTCTTTTTCAGAATATGTGACTGACTTAAAAAAGACACGTTGATTTGTTTCTTTCTAATACATAGAGCCCTTATCTTTTATCTTCTTAGAGACGCATCGAATTACTGTTGTTTTGTTTCATTCATTGAAAGCTAATGTAATGTATAATTCTTCTTAATTTCTACTTTAATATAAGAAAAAAAATGAAGAATTCTAAAACAAATTTAGCTCGCATTTGAAGTCATATTATTCATTCTCATAACATTCAAAGCACATTCCCAATTATACTGCGTTCCATGTCAAGTCAACAACCGTGTGAAATACAAGAAAAACAAAAGAACAACAAATAGGCACGCAAGAAGAAGAAGAAGAAGAAGAAGAACAAGAAGTCATTATTTTTCTTTTTTTGATTTCAAGAAGCTATATTAAAGACTTATTAGAATCATAACGAAATAGAGGTCTTTACAGATATCAATGATTGAAAGACCACATATATACATAAAAAAAAAAATTGAGACAATTCTTGGAAGCAAACGTGAAAAAAAGTGAAATACACTTCTATGTAATTAATAGTATTTTGTAAGATACTGTGAGGGGACATAAGAATTTAAAACGAATTTATCACAGGGTTTTTATCATACAAAGCCATATTATTAGTTTTTATTGTTCAACTACAATTAATTCTTCATCATCACCTAATGGACGTTCACTTAATTCTTGACGAATTGCTTCCATAAGCATTTTTTCGTCATGATGTCGATCAGCTAGTTCATCAACATGTGTTGGTTGATTTTGTTGTGGTTGTTGTTGAACAGAACGATATTGTTGTTGTTGTGGTTGTTGTGGTTGTTGTTGAACAGGACGATATTGTTGCTGTTGTTGTGAAGGATATGTTGATTCATCTGCTATAAGTGGTTTATCAAATCTTAATGGTCTTCGAACATTACCATTTGTTGTTAATCCTGATGGAGGTAATTGTCTTGGTGGTGATAAATGTTTTTGATTAGCTCGATCTTGTGCTAATCTTTCAATATCAGTAACACGACGATCATCATCATCAAAAAGTTGTTCACGTCGTTTTTGTGATGGATTTAAAATACCTTGTACTTGAGCTTTATCACGTTCATGACGCATAGCTAAACGTTCAACAAGTTCATTATCATCATTTTGTGCGAATCTTGTTGATTGTTTTTGTGTTGGTGGTGGACGATGAGGAACATCAGTTGGTCGACGATGACCAGAAGCAGCTCCATTCATATCAGGTGGAGTTGAATGAGTTGATGTACCTGATGGTGGTTTATGACGAGTTGAAACACGAGCATAGTCAAGTGCCTATATATAATGATAATAAATAGAAGATTTTTATGAAAAAATGATAATTATCAATTACTCGTTGTGTTTTTGATGCTTCATTTGGTATACGTGTATCTGATAATGTACGACGAGGAGCTTCAGCTAATTTTTTCTTATTACGATATTCAACTTGTTGTGCATATTCTTTTGTTTTTAATAATTTATCACTCTAAATTAAAAATAATAAAGGACAAATTTCATTGTATTATATTTAGCTTGAAGATAATAATTTATATACTTTTTCTTTATGATTAGGATTATCAAAATCAAAACCAAGATAACCAGTACCAAATCCATTATTCTTTTTAAATTGTTCATAATCACGACCTGTATATGGTTTAAAATGTGGTCCTTGTTTCGCAAAATTCATTTTAGCCAAATAAGAATCTATATTCAAAAAATAAAAAATAAAAACAATCAAAATAGAATTTTTTCTCGTAGTTTACAAAAATCAATTTGTATAAATTACCTTCTTCTCGTCCTTTATCACTATAACTATAATAATCACTACTATAACTAGGTGGACTATATCCACCTTGACCAATACCTGTTGTGTGTTTACCATAACGACCCATTGATGGATTAACAGGTGGATTTGTTAATGTTGGACTTCGATCAGTTGGTGAATGTGTTGGTGGTAAAGACTAAAATGACACAAAAAAAAAAAATAATATCGAATATTATATATAATTATGAAAAACAAAAAGCAATAAAATTAATTGAGAATAAGCTAAATGAGCTTTGAAGCAGCTACCTGCTGCCGACGTCGCTGACAAGAACAATTAATCCAACGACATTCAATAAATTTCTGTTTTTTTAAAATATGTTTTGATTTCTGAATTGAATTCTTTTAAATAATCTTTACTAAACTTAAATGATTGAATAGAATTTATCTTACTTGATCAATACTATTTTCTAATTTTCGTATATGTCGATCTAATGGATCTAAACCAGACCAATCTGGATGATCCTTATTTTGTTGTTGTTTAATGTTTTGTAAATCAACAAGGCGTAAATCAATATTTACGGATATTTTGTCACCTACACGACTAACATGGCTATCTATTAATAAAGAAAAAAAAAATTTTTTTTTTTTATAGAAAAAGACGTTGGACAATAGTTTATTATTAACCGAGAGGTATGGTAACTGATGCTGGAAGATTTCCAGTTTGTGATTTATCGCCTGGATTTAAATTAATTGTTACTGGTAAACTAGAACGATGTTGTGTATTGGAATGCGTAGCTGTAGAATCATTCATTAATGTTGATGATTGTGTTTGATCAAATTCATTTTGTGATCTAAGAAAGAGAAAATCTTCGTTTTTATTGTATTAAAAAACGAAAAGAGAATCCAAAAGGTCAAATTGACCTTACTAGTTCATTTCTTGATCAATTCTATCGAATCATATATCAACGGAAAGAGTATGTTGAAACTAACATTGTTGTACTAGTTTCATAAGGTTTTAATCAATATTCTAATAACCACGGGATTCAATTTGACAATAAATACATAAGACAAACTACTATTGTAAATTATAAATACGATAGTTCTTTCATGGACTTTCAATCCCATATATATAAATCAATAATTGGTTTTTTAATTTAATGAGATATAGGTCCGATGTATCGGTAGACATTGTTAGTATTTGGAAGCACCATCAAAAATGGAGTTGATGTATGTGAGATTCAAAGGATCGCTGGAACCGTTTTTTCTTCGTCGAAAAATTGACTCCTGTTTCCCTGAGAGGAACCAGGGGTGAATTTTTCAACATACTGGTTTCGAATATCATATTCGTTTTCACTCGTATTGAACTTTTTTTCTAATCGAAATCTTCTAACTAGGGATCAAAAAGACATAAAATTGCTTCTAGACTAAAGTATGCTAAGAAATTTTTTCAACTTTGGAAAAAATATATGACTTTGTACCTTTTTTCGACAGAACTATCAAGTGAGCAATACAAGAGCTTTGATTACTTCAATTTTTTTTCAATTATAATATTTGTTGAACGATAAGAATCGATGAAAAATATAGTAAATATGCGTATTGATATATGATTCAATGGATGTTTCTCTTAAACTTACTCTTGAATTTGATTTTGTTCATTTTTTCCACCACCAAGATCTTTTCGTTTTGAATATAAATTTTCATATTTCTTAGCAGGATATCGATGATAAAAATTTTCTTTATTTTTAATCATATCAATATTATCTTCGATATAATTTGTTTTTGATACAGGTATAGGTGGAGGACGACGTTGTGGTGGTGAATTGGCACCTTGTTTTGATTGAGCAGAAGATTGTTGACTACCACCATTACCGTTCCATGCATTATTTGAACCAAATGTACCTTTTAATATTTGTTCACGTCGATTAGCTGATTCACGTTTTTTTGCATTTTTTTCTTGAACTTTAACATTTGTACGTTGTAATTCATTCCAAATAGCTATAAAAATAAAACTTTTTTTTTTTGTTTAAAGAACAAAAAAAAAAATTTTTATTTACCTTGTCGTTTCGAATCTTGTTCTTGTTGTTGATCAACATTACGTTGATTTGTCATGGATGGTGCTTGTTGTTGTCGATAAGAAAGTTGATCAAGTTGATCATCATTATGATCAGTAAAAAACATTTCTTGATTATTTGAAGGATATGTTGAACGTGGGATTTGTTCATCATAATTTTGTTGTTGTTGGGGAGGTAGTGGAGCTCTTTGATACTGTTGTTTTTGTGTCGGTGGTGGACGTTGATATTGAGATGGAGCATACATTTCCTGATAGTCATTGAATGGATCATTGTTATTATTATTATTATTATTATTAGTATAAGCTGTTTGTCGATTTGAAAGTGGTGGTGGTTTTTGTTGGTATTGATTATTATTTGTAGATTGCTGAGGTGGAACATATCCTGAACGATGTGGTGGAGACAATCGTGCATATGAATTATCAAAAGTTGAATCTCGTTGTTCATGGGGTGGTTGTTGTTGTGGTTGAGGTGGAGGTGGTGGTCTTGCATTTGGTACATAATTTTGTCCAATAGCATTGAATAATGGTTGTTGAAATAATTGATCATCTGGACCAAAATTGTTTAAAAATGATCCTGGTCCATTATCATAGGATGAGGTCATAAATATATCTGTACTATTCATATTTGATGAACGAGGTGGTAATTGCTTTTGTTGTTGTTGTTGTTGTTGGTGAGGTTGAGGTTGAGGTTGAGTTTGAATTTGATTTGATGAGTTTAAATTTGGAGCAGAAAATGGTATCGGTTGACGTTGATGAATAGAAGGATTTGGTTGATTTTGAGGATCGAGTGAATCGTAAAGTTCAGCTTCAAGTAATGCATCATTAACGGTACGGTTAGCTGTAGTTGTTGAAGCTAAAAAATGAAGCTTATTTAATAAAATGTCCTCGGCTATTTGTAAAAAAAAACATATTAAGAGAAGCGTTTATATTAGCAGAAAAAAAAAATGTCAGGCGAAGTTTTACCGAAAAAGAAAGAATTCTGTTCACTTCGTTACTTACTACATCAAATAAGGTGTATGTTTGTTAGTTTTTTTTTCCTGCTTTTTTTTTCTCTTGTTTTTTTGTTCTTATGACGACGATCATAAGCAACCGATGAGACAAGAACAATTATTGTTAATACCATTTTACTGCTCTTTTTGCTTTCCGATTTGTTTTTCTTTCAAATAGAAGAAAACTTACAAACAAGAGAGAAGGAAAAGAAAATCAATCAAACAATTTGACGTCTTCTTTTACTCTTTCTCGTTTTCTTGTTCACTTTCAGTCGTTCGTTTTCTTTTTTTTTAAATTTTTTGCTTCAATAATTTACAAACAGAAGCAATATGTACGATGAATTGTAAATGAAAATTGTTTAAGATGGAAAACAATCTATACCTTGTTATAAACAATGATGAATTGATATCCTTGCCGCTGGCTAGGCGTGCTAAGTGGCTCTCATTTATGCATAAAAATAGTTGTTCTTATCAAACAAACAAAAAAATATTTAAAAAAAAATCAGACTATGTAGAAAAAATTGTTTGTTCTTTAACTAATAATCGAACGAAGAATCCTACCCTGATTGGTTTGTGATAGACCAGGTAATCTATTAACATTAGGTTCATAAGGTACTGAATTTCGTCGATACATAGGAGGCGGTGGTGGTGGAGGTTGTATTTGTGGTAGACGTTGTTGAGTAGACATGGCATCAAGTTCAGCAAGTAATGGACCAAGAAGTGGATCTTGTCGAGGATCAGCTCTATAATTAAAATTGTCTTCATAATGTTTGTATAGATTAATTATGATATATGATAGAACTTGATAAGAGTACAATCTCAGTAGTTACTTAACCATTTCAGAACGAGATTCTTTTTGTCAAGCAAAACAATGAAACACGGAATTAATTTTTCTTTCTAATCAGCATTATTGATCTTTTCAAAGGCTGGTACGGCTCATATATATGTTGTCGGTACGAAATCATAGAACAATGTCAAGTACATAAATGATAATTAGTTCAAGACGAAAGACGCATATTTTGCGTCTCCCGGCCCAAAAGGGTTAAGAAATCTTTTGAAATACTTAATATTGATTTTATTGTTTCTCGTTATATCAAGACACTTTAAAGTTAAAGACAAATATTCATTTTGAAAGAAGTGTATTACGTGATACAACAAATTTAAAGTAGAGTTGAATATCATAGATAATGATATTTCATCGGAACTATTACATAATTCAAATTATTGTATGTCATTATATTATATCTTATAATGACAAAAAAAAAACAGATCAATTCATAAGCTTCTTTATCGTTTTCTTTACATAAAAAATAATTCTTATTCATCAAAATAGTTCAAAGAGTAATCGATCCAGTTATATGAGTAATGACAAATATCTTTTGTCATTTTTATAATTCAAGATCATTAAAAATTTATAATAAATGAATTCAAGGTTTTTTTTTTTTTTTTTAATATGAAAATAGCAAAAATAATTGTTCTTTTTTAATTCTTTGATAGCAAAAATACTTTTTTTTTTTCTTAATAAAAAAATAAATTTTTATGTCAGAATTAATTATTTTGTGTTGAATTGACACTTCTTATATATATGAAACTAATACGTTTTTAATTAGAGTAAAAATACATAAAGAATTTGTTTTTATCGTCAAAAAATTTGAAATCGCTTGTTTGTTTTATTTCTCATATATTTAACAAGTATTCTAAAATAAGTTATACTAAATCTTATTACCATTTTTTTTCTTCTTATTTCTGAAATATAATAAAAAAAAAAAACTTTCTTTATATACTAAAAGATATAGAAGTTCAAGTTCTAAGAAACTATGGATTTTATTTTTCAAACAAGTTTTCCTTATTGTCAGCAAACTTAAAACATTTACGTCTATTCTGTCATTCAAGTGCAATTTCCTATTAAGTACTTCGATTGTATGATTGGTGTAAGTCTTTACTTTTCAAAGCAAATACTAAAAGCATATTATTTAAATATTGATAAATAGAGAATTTTGTATTCTATGCTTGAATATTTTATAAAGAAATCTAGAAAACTATTGCTCAAGAGATATATACTTAATATTGACAATAGTCGTTGGTTTTTTTTTTTGGTTAAATTTTTAAAAATAATATATTCAAACTTTATGAATGATTTATTATTATATTATTGATTGTAGAATTTAATTTTGAACAAAATCATCTAAGTGCTTTATTGAATAGTAAAAAAAATTGACATTGTTATTGTAAATATATGAATAACATTAATATATCAGAAAACGACCTTCTTCTTTCGATGTTTTCATATTTTTTTTTTATTTAACAACTGTGTTTCTCTTTAACTACTTCATTTAAAATTGTTAAGTATTGTATTTAGAGATGAAGAATTTTGTAGTCTAAGTAAAATTTCAATGAAGTTTTTTGTTGAAATTCTTTAGTGTTTATTCATTTGTTGTCACAATTGAGAAATTCAGTAGATGTTAAATTTAAAATTTGACGACAAAAAGAAAAAAACAATGCAAACATTTCTCTAGAGTTTGAAATTCTTTATCTTTTGACATTGAACATAAATGTTTTTACTTATAGAATTGAGAGAGAGAAAAAAAAAAGCAATAATAAACATTTAGTACAAGATACCTATTCGTTAAACTTCGAAAATGTATATATCATTGGACTTACCGTCGCATATTGGTCATTGGAGATTGTGTTACTGGATTGATTAATTGTGTCAATGGAGCTGGTGGTTTTGATTCTGGAAATAATTGTGTATTTGGTTGATATGATATTTTATGTCGTGTATTTGTTGCACCAAACAGATCTAATTCAAAATCAAGTGAATCTATAAGTGTTTCACCCGTAGGCGCTGGAACCGTTGTACCAATAATGGATGATGGATGATCACTTAAACGACTTGGTACATATCTAGAAAAAAAATAAGAAGATCTTTTCTTATTGATAGAGTGTGAATAATATATCTTACCTGTATATATCGTCGTCTTTATTGTCAAGTGAAGGTGATTCTAAATAAACTCTTCTTCCAAATAAACCAGCATTATCATTCATTTTATTTGATGAATCTTGTTCTGTTAAAGGTTTTAAATCAAATTGTTGTCGATTATTTGTAGATGATTTTGAAAAAAGATATTGATCATTATCAAAATCATCTAAATTATTCTCACCAAAATATCGATTTGCTAAATCACGATCATCAATAATCATTCGATCCAATGTAGCCATTTGCAAAAAAGGTTCTTTAATTTCTAAAAAAACAAAAAGCAAAAAAACTTGACGTCATTTTTTTTAAAAAGTACTGATTTTCAGATTACAAAGTATCAACGTTATTCTTTTTCTTTTTTTTTATGAGCCACTTGACAAGACAACCTACAACTCCCTTCACTGATTTTAACGCCATCATACGACCTAATTGATATCCATGACAACAAACCTTTATTTATAATCATAAAGAAATATTTTTATATTGAAACTATAAAGAAATTTTTCATTTATTTTTCAAATTCTTTTCATTAAATTTATTAAAAAAATATCATATTACATATATAAAGAGATATTGAAACTGAACTTATTATATGGTTCACTTAACATAACCAATAGAAAACTAGATTATAAATGTACTTTGCTTTTTTATTACAACTTTAAAAAAGATAAGATCAAATGATTAAATTATATCTATTTAACTAATTGATATAGGGCACACGTTTACTTTAATAATACGCTTTACATTTATTGGCGTAATTTGCACAGATACAGCTGCTTTTTTGTGAGAGTGAGGGCGCTGTGATAAAAGTGATTAAAATGAACTTGTTCTTAATATAGAGCTATATATGTTAGCAATTAAACTTAGGTTACGCCCAGATTCTTATGCATGATAAACACACACCGCATAGACTGAAGGTGAGAATGTATATGTCGTGTGGAAACACTTATGTTCAATCTTGAGGTGATAGACAAGTTTTCATTAAAACTTTCTTGAGTGTCCACATTGATGTTCGATTCGAACTGATTATTATTGAACTATGTTGAAACAACAGAATTTCACATATTGCAATCATCAATGTTGAAATTAAGTTCGAATTCAAATACTTATGAATAATTTTTCATTAAGTCACAAATCTTAATTGAATTTCTCTATCGACAAATGTATTACGCGAACTACTATTGTTTTAACAGAGTTCATTAACAAGAATTCGAATCTAACATCTATCAAGAGAGTAATTGTAGTTATCATGAAAACTTCTTCCTAGATTTTCAACATTGAATATGTTCAAAGTAAAAAATCGAGATTAAATATGAATATATATTTTCAGATGGCACATCATACGCATTCTCATTCTCATTCTCATTCTCACGAAGGACAAAAATCTATTTTACATGCTTCAAAAACATGCCGTTTAGGAATGGTATTAGGTCTTACAATAGGTTTTTTCTTTGTTGAGCTTATTTGTGGTTATATTCTTCATTCTGTGGCTATTTTTGCTGATGCTATTCATATGCTTAGTGATAGTGGAGCACTTATTATTGCAATGGTCTCCGTACGAGTATGTTTTTAAACTTATTTGATTGAATCGAATTTTATTTCTTGGTTTTTTTTTGTTTGTCTTTTGTATTTAGATTTCAAAACGAAAATCAGCTAAAAATACATTCGGGTATAATACAGTGCAATGTTTTTTTTTTAGAAAATAGTCTTTTTTTTCTAATTGTAGTTGGGTACGAGCACAAGAATTAGGTGCTATGGTTAATTGTATATTACTTATGTCACTTTGTTTTACTATTCTTGTACAAGCTATCAAACGTTTAATATCAATAGAATCTGTTGACAGAAATAAATTAAACTTATATATTATTGTTGGTGTCGTTGGATTAGCTATTAATGTAATGGCATTAGTAATTCTTGGAGGTTTGTTATTGTTATTTTTCAATTGGATTGATAGTAATATTATATTTTCAGGTGATATGGCTCATGGACATTCACATGGAGGTGATAACAAAAAATCAAAAAATAAACAAGATAATAAAAAAAATGAAGATGATGTTGAAATAGGTGAAGGTGAACATTTATGTGCTGATGAACCAATAGACAATATGGATAATCATGGTCATTCCCATGATACAGGACCATCAATATTAGATAAAAATAATACAAAAAATGTTGATAAAAAATTGAAAAAGAAAAATCGTAAAGGAAGTAAGAAAAATTTGTTAAAAATAAAGACAATCAATAATAATCTTTTTCATTAATAGTGGATGGTAGTCAAATGAATATTCGTGGTGCTTTTCTTCATGTACTTAATGATGCTCTTGGTTCAGTCATTGTTGTTCTAGCTGGTTTAGCTATTCGACAATGGCCTGATAAAGCATGGGTTAATTATATTGATCCATTAGCTAGTTTAATTATGATTTCAATGATTGTTATATTTACAATTCCATTATGTAAACCATATTCATAGATAATAAATATGATATATATATATATTGTGTTTTTCTTAATTTAGTACGTGAAGCAGCATTAGTTCTTTTGCAAACAGCTCCTATGCATATTGAAGTTGCTGATTTACAAAAACGTCTTGTTGAACAAGTATTTATTTTTATTTAAAATTTAATATGAAATAAAAGAAAAATTTATTTATTCATAGGTACCCGGTGTTCTAGCTGTACATGAATTTCATGTTTGGCAATTGAGTGGTTCAAAAATAATAGCATCTGCACATATACGTTGTCATAATTTAAGTGAATATATGGCCGTTGCTGAACAAGTTAAAGATTTTTTTCATAAAGAAGGTATTCATTCAACAACGATTCAACCTGAATTTATTGATGTTTGTATTAAAAGTTTTCTTTTAATTATTATTTATATTAATTTTTTTTTGTATAGCAACAAATTGCATCGGCAATAGTTAGTGACAAAGAATGTATTCTTGAATGTCTTAAAGACTGTAGTATGAATACGTAAGTAGAATAATTATATGAATACAAGATAGCATACAGATAGCACTATAATAAAAAAAATTAAAATATTTACACTTCAATTCTTTGGATAAAGGGTTTTTTTTTTAATTGATAGTAAAAGTGCCAAGTAAGGAAAATACATATGAAATGTTTCATAGATAATTTTCACTTGTTATCGAAAAGAATAAGAAGAAGTCAAAATGAACTATACTGATGTATACAGAGCAAGTTTTCAAAACTAGTAGTCAATTTCAATGCTGAAATTCGTATACCCTAAAGTAAAACGCATTATTACAGCTCATTAGAAATAAATCAGTATTCCATGTTTGAAATTTTGTAGCCATTGACTTCTAAATTAAATAGTTCTGAAAATTTGCTCTATATACATCAATATAGTATCATTCATGAAGTTCATTTTGATTTATTTTTCTTATTCTCTTATATGACTAGTGAAAATTATTAATGAAATACTATACATATATCCTTCTTATTTAAGAACAGGTAGAATTACTTTCATGATAGTAACAATAATACTTGACAGTAGTATTTACTTCTTTTATCCGTATGAAAACAAAACTTTGAATAAAGTTGTATCACTAAACAAAATATCCATGTGGATATATGTCTTTTCTTCTATCATAGTATTGTTAGTGGCCTACCGTAGGCAACTTTCTAAGAGAAAAAAAATTGCCGCAAAAGTCACCTATAGTAGATTGCGTTGTACTAAACTCTTATTTCAAGGATAAAAGAAGAGATTTGACAGTAAAAAAAGCAGGCTTTCTTTTAGAACAAATAATTCAATCCATGTTGAATGGTCATATTTGATGTAAGAGCCAACATTAGCTCTGATGTGTAGAGATATTTGCTGAGAGTTATGCTTAATTCGGTATTAGCTGATGATAATATTTACAATATCACAAAATCCAACTTTTAAAAAGATGCAATACGATCAGATCATTTCAAACATCACTTTGGCTTAAAACTAAAATGATGTTCTGTTTCTAGACATTGAGATTTCGAGGCAAAAATTTCGGTTTCTGCTCAACAGTGCGGTGTACGTGCTATGCTTAATGATGAACCAAATATGGAAGAATAATTTGCCAAGGATTGAGAATAATCGGGTGTGAATTGTTTTGCGTGCTTACAAAACACGTAAAGAATGATTTTCAGAACCATGTTGAGCAAGGCAACCGACTTTTTTATTTTCGAGAAATACTCACTGTTATGTATGATACGATGTAGCTTGATGAACTGATTTCGAATATCATCTCTGTAGTACTCAAAAATGTCTGTCTATTTGAAAAATAAAGAATTCAGGGACATAGTATTGATGCTTTGCGAACCCACTAGCACTGTTTCTATTCATTAGTACAACTCAACGCTATCACCAACGATAAATGACATATAGAACAATAGTTGATGAAAGTTTGAGATCAATCAACTCTGAATTATTTTGCTCATTCACAAAATACAGTATCACCAATTTTTTGAGCTCTTTTAGACCTAGTTATCACCATTTTCTATTCCATTATCTGGTCAATCGAAATGACTTGTTTCATACAATTCAAGTGTATGAACCAAGTATTAATTTTAGGCCATTTTTCATTTCAAAATATTTCCATAAATTACTGATAGAAATGATTTTCATATAATTACCGAATTCTGAAGACATTTTGTGATGGACATTCCCTCCGTTTGACTTGATTTCTAGAGATCTTATTTTAGGATGAGATATACCAATTATAGTTATGTTTATTTCAATATTTGAACTTCGACAACATCAACTTTTGATCATCTCTACTTGGTAGGATCCGTCGGGTTCAAAACTTTTGGACCCGGATGCGGACCCAATCAAACCATACTTTGATACTCTCAATGAAATCTTCTCATCGGTATCGGGTAGTCGCCTAAAAAATACACGATAGCTTTCTCCGGCTTCATATATTTGGTTACTAGCGCATCCTACCCATTTTGCAGGCGGCTAGAATCCATCAGATTTAAATTTTGCCGATCCGAACTTGATTTGGTTCGGCTTTGGGATCAACTCGATGGACTCTACCGCCTGATTATTCACCATGTATATACAAAGATGATGATTTATTTTATTTTTATATAGATGTTGTGGTCAACCATCAAGTTATGTTAAACAACGAACACCTCGTTTAGGTGCAAACAATAATACGGATTCAGGTTTGTTTAATTATTGTTTTTTTTCGTTTTTCATGGTTTATTTTTTGAATTTATTAGATAATATTGCTCAACGTTCACAAGGTGAAATGATTATACCGTCAATTGAAATAATAAGTCCAACACGATCAAGTAGTTATGTTGAGAACACTAATTAACCGAACCAACAAAGCTTATTGTCAAATAATCTTGCCTTGCTTTCGTTGTTTTCCTCTTTCGATATTCAACACTATTAGTTACAGGAATTATTAAACATACACAGTCACTATTTCAATAACAGATTTCAAATATAAGAAACAAAAAAGCTTCTAAAATAACTAAAGATCTGAATGACGTGTATGCACAGTAATTAATCCCTTTATTTTCTATTTCCATGTTGTTTCCATTACTCTTTTTTCTATTTGTTAGTGTTGTAACTACAACTTTTTTTTTTTTATCATACATCGATGTTTATCTTTTTCTCTAATGCTTTTATTCTGTTTAATCTTCAATATTTTTTTCCACTTCATGTTCTCGTCATATTTATTAAAACAATTATGAAGAAAAATAATCATTATATGTTTCTTTCTTCCTTTTTTCTTGCTATTTAAAATTAATAGTTTATTTCAAACTTAACGATCAATTAAAACAATTATAATAATGCTTTGGATTCAATTTTATTTGACTGGTTGAGCAGAAAAATCTTAAATAAAAAACAACAAGAAAACATTAATATCAACTTTGCACACAAACAATAGCGAAGATTCTCAAAAAGAAATGTTTTATTTTGAATCTATGAACAATATAGGAAAAAAAAAAACTTTTTTTTTTCCGACATAATCATATCGCCATCCGTAAAAGATTCTTATAGAAAAATTCATTGAAGTGTATAACTGTCAATCTGATTGAATAAGTCTCTGATTAACAAGCTTGTCTTTTGTCGATATAAGATTTGAACGATGAATGATATACATATCATTTTCAGTATTCAATATTATGAATTGTTCTATTATTGTTTTAATGAATATTTTTTAAATAAATAATTGCTTTCTCTATATCAATAATTCTGATATACATATTCTTATATTTTTTGTTAGTTAATTTTCAACAAGTATGTAAATAATATTTTATTAGTTGATAGTATTCATGATTTAAATAGAAAGAAAAGTATCAATAAACCTTTTTATATTACGTCGTATGTTTCAATTAGATCGAATATTGTTTATCAACTTGACCTTTTCAATGATATTAACTGATAAATCTATTCATATCATTTCACCTTCGATATGAAGACGAAAGATGGGGCTGTAGACGATAATTTCAATTTAGTTTTTTTTTTTATTTCTATATATTACAAACACTTATGAAGTATAAATTCTAATCTTGATGGAAAGATCTAGCAATGTAGAACGAATCGTTGCCAAAGACTAAAATTGAATACTAGACTATAAATAACCATATATGAATGATTGTTCTTTAAACAAAAATAATATTTTGACGATAGCTGTTATCATATAAACACCATAATATCCAAAACATTTTTTCCGTTTGGATGAATCAATAAATCAGTGTATATGTCAATAATCTACGATATCAACCATAATTCGTTGATTCAGTAATTTCTTTTTTTTTCTTTTAGTGATTAATGAGAAAGAATGGATTAGAAACGACAGGTACACATATATGTGTATCCAAATATATATATATATATATATATAATATATATGTGATATTCGTTACACAGTTACGAATAACAGAGACGGCAAGGTTTCAATACGCATATATTATACCTATATGCAAAGCACGCTTCTTGATATATATTATATACGCATCCAAATAAGTAAGAAAAACAGGTGATAATGTGTATGATTTGTCGAATAAACGGCAAAAGCAAATTCAATTCTACGGCTCTCTTCTTTTTTTTTTTTTTCTTCGATGCCTTTTATTTGGCATATACTCTTAACAATTACGAATTTAGACATTCTTCCATATATATAGATACGTATATGTATCTATATATATTCATTCAAATATTGGAAAATGTCATTGTTATATTAATGATTCTTTTATCTCTAGCAGTCATTTACTATTTCATCTGCAGGTATATATATAAAATTTTTTTTTGTATTCTTCTTTATTTCTTTCTTCGAATATAAAGTAACACATCGAATGAATCTTCCGTGATCGTCGATGGAAGAATGAAATGATGATACAATGAAATGAAGAAGAACTATAGTGCATCTTATTCATCTGCCTTCTTCTTCTTCTTCTTCTTCTTTTTTCGTTGAATCAATCAAAGAAAAAAAGGTAGATCGATGTTTGATAGTGATAAATAACGAATGTTGTCATTTATTGAATAACAACTAGACAACAAAAAAAAAAAAAAAAAAAAAAAAAAAGAAACGAACGAGAATTGCTAACATGATATTTTTTAATCAGAACACTCATGTCATCATATATTTCATGTCATTTCTCTATTTTTCTTTTCTAAATACATGTATTTAGTTTATCAAACTATTCTGATCACTACTCATTTCCAATCTAATCAATCATATAATGCAAATCGTTTTTTATATAATATAATCTTTTATCGAGGTGAGTTATCTCTGAATTAGACAAGTATAAAAAAAAAATTCTTCAAATGATAGAGAACAGAATCAACAATTATGATTGTCTGCCGAGTATTTTTTTTTTTGCTTGGCCGTTGTGTATACGCTTTTTGTGATACGGATTTTCTCGTCAGCGTTCATTCAGCTCTTTGCTTCTTTCTTTTTTTTCTATTTCTTCTCTCGTTCAGAATACATGATAGAAAAAAAAGCAAGAGAAACATAGTTATGTACTCGTCCTGATAATTCAGACTAGCGTTAGACACATTCTCATATATAGACGTTCTTGTGTGCACAAAGAAATCCGAGATTAACTAGAAGACTATGCAAGTATTCTCGTATTTTCCAAAAAAAAAAAAGGATACAGATTGAACGTTTATAGAAGAAAAAAAGAGAAAATACGATTCATTGTATGAATGATATGGCAAGAGAATTTTTTTGCTTTCCTTTTTTTCTCTTCTTTTCCTTTTGCTTTGCTCTGTCGTATTTTTTTTTTTTTGGTGAACGTGTCTTGCTTATTGTGCAAAGGGGTTTGTCGTTTTTTCTATCCATCGTGTCTTCATTTTTTTATGCTGCCGGAAGGCAACGTTATATCTTTCCACTTATCTACTTCGAATAGAACTGTTCGTTCTTTTTCCAATCGCATTATAGTGATACGATTCATGTGTCTTCTTAACAAGAAAGAAACTTATATTTTTTTATCTTCATATCCTTATATGAGAAATGATCCATGAATTCTAATCATTGCGTATATGTACATATATACATATATAAATATGTATATATATATATATATATGTGACAAGAATTATTAAGAGTATCAGTCACTTGCACCCACTGTGTTATTGGTAGTTCCTATTGATACCTATCAAATCTCATTCTTCTTTTTTTTCTCATTTGAAGACTATATATATATATATATGCGTATATGTATATATTCAAATGAAATATTAAGTGATTTTTTTTCTTCTTTCTTTCATCACTTTCATTTTATACATACATCCATCTATACACCAAACAAACAAAGTCGAATAGGACTTTGAATTTTTTTTTTTTGTGTGTATAAAGTATTCGATAAAGAATAAAATAAACTTTTCTTTTCTTTCTTCTTTCACTCATATTTCATTCTTGGAAGAAGTTTTTTTCTTTTTCTTCTTCTTTTTTTTTTTTTTTCTTGTAGAAATATAAATCGACAAGATGTTGATGCCATCTCAGTCACCACCATCGACGACCACTATTCAAACATTACCTTCAGATCAACAACAGCAACAAGAATACGTCGATAAATTAAACAGCCAAACGAACAGTACAGTTATAAAATTTCGACGAGAAAAATCAATGGAATTTGATGATGATACAAGATTTATTAGTAATATCAATGATGATATCAATAATAATCATTCAGTATTTGAATCAACAGATGATATGATAAAATTAGAATCAAATGATACATCATCAGTGTCAAGTACAAGTGAAGATTCACAACTAATAATACAAACTCCATCACCACCACCACCACCACCAATATTATCAAGTCCAAGTAAAAAAAAATTTATTTCATTTGTACAAAAACATATAGAGATATTCTTATTTTTAGCATTTAGTAATCTATCAAAACAAACAACAAAGATTTCTTCCAATCGTCGATCTGTTCGATCATCATCTAATCGTCGATTAGTTGGTGAAAATGAACAAACTACATTGACAAATATCAATGAACCTGATCCAAATGTATTTCTAATATCATCTGATACAAATTCTCATAATACAATACGAAAAACAAAACATGATGTTAAACGTTTTGTTATGTATATAGATGAACAATTCGAAGAACAAAAACCTTTACATACAATATCAGCTGAATCCTTATGTCGATATTTAAAACATTATTTTGAAAATACAAAAAAATTTGATGGTACACAATATGAACCAGATACATTAAGAAGTTTTTTATTGAGTATTGAACGTTATTTAAAAAGTAAAAAATATGATTATAATTTAATGGAATCACCATTATTTCAATCATGTCGACAAGTTATTATGAATAAACGTGAACAATGGAAAAAAATGGGTGGTGGAAATCATTTAAATAATCATCATCATTCAAAATCATCATTTATGTTATCAAATATTAAAAATTTAACTATATTTGATAGAACTAAACCTGATGGTTTATTACTTGAAATGTATGTTCATATAACAAAACTTTATCAAGATAAAATTTTATCAATATCACAATTACTTTGGAGTGATATTGAGTTAATTGATGAACAATATCTTGTACGTCGTCAACAAAAACCAGAAAATCAAACCATAAGGTTGAAATAATAAAAAAAAAAATAATCACTAATCAATTAATATTATGAAAAATAGTTGATTTGACTTTTATTTTTTTTTAGACTTTATGCAATACCAAGTCAACCATCAATATGTCCAGTACAAGCTTATCGTCTTTATGCAACACATCGACCACCACAATGCAATACACCTCAATCACCTTTTTTTCTTATGCCACGTGCTTCTAATACTCATCATATTTGGTAGAAATATATTTATTATTCAATTAAATTTACTTAAAATTTCGCTTTTATTTTTATCTATCAGGTATAAAACAACAACAGCTGCTAAAAATCTTGAACAAATACTTCAAAATGCTATTCAATGTAGTATTCTTTCAAAACAATCATCACCATCATCTTCAATAACAAATTTTAAAACTATTGAACGTTCATTACCATCGACTGTTAATGAATCATTATCTCCAATATCAATACTAAATGGAAAACGAACTGAATCACGAATGTCATCACCTGGTTTATTACCATCATCCAAACGAATACATTCATCAACATCTTTAGTACAACCATTGAATCTCGTTATTTCAACAAATAATATATCTATGGAAGATGATAGTGGTACAGCTTCATCATCTCCAACAAATTCATTATCAAACGATGTTACACCTACATCTATATTAAATAAAAATTCATCATCAATAACTAATATATTTCATAAACAATCATCACCATCAATAACTAATCCGATTTGGGATGAAAGTGTTACTGATATATTATTGACTGTAGCAAAACAACGTGATACACGTGTGGTTAAAATAAATATTCTTCGAACATATCTAGAAGAAAAATTAGGTGTAGTAGAATTTTTATGTCTTTATCGTGGATTTAAATCGGAACCAAAATTAACATTTCATGGAACGCCATGGGAACATTATCAACGTTTTTTACCTGTTCTTTTTACGCTTCTCACACTTGACAATACGACTGTTTAAGCAATGTCGGTTTTTTTTCAGTTTTATTCTTTTTTTTTTCCTATGTTTGTTTTTATCAATCAAGAATTATAATTTTTTTGTTGCTTTGTTTGTATATCTCAAAATATGTCATAGAAAGAAAAGCTAAAATTGAAAAAAAAAAAGCAGAAACTTATTTGAATATGCCGCCTTAGGAACAATATATTTCTCGTTTATTTCTATCGCAAAATGGCAAAGACTATCCATTTGACATGTTACTCACATACACAAAAGAATTCATTAAATCAAAAGAATGAATAGTTTGTTATTTTTTTTTAAAGTTTTTCATAACTAACCATTTTTCAATGGATTTTTTTTGATTTCGATAATAATTTATATAGAACATTTCAAAACAAGAACAGTACGATCGAAAATAATGTTAATATGACTTGATATTTTTAATGTATTTTTGTAAGAAAAAAAAAACAAAACTCGATAATGTAATCTTTCATTAGACAACATTTCGAAAAAGAATTTCTGTCTATAAAAAAATCAAAATACAGTCGCAACAACTTATGTCAATCTAAAAACATATATCATTGAATATCAAACAATCTTTCTTAATAAGCAACATATATTATTTATTATTTAGATTTAGCATCTGCTTATAACTGACAATCAAGTGGATTCGATATTTAAAGAAATCCTAGAAAGAGAAAACATATGCTTTGTTTTTTTTCTTTTTTTTTGCAATTAAGAAATATTCATTTCATGATAATATACTTTTATTTTCATCGCAAGATCATCATTTATGTTTATCTTGATGATATAACTATTAAACAATAAGCTATTATAAAATATATATTATACTAATAGATTTCATCTTTTTTTGTGTGTATGAATCAATTCTTCTGAATATTTTTCAAATACAAAATAAATAATGCACTACCAACTATAATATATCAATATGTTATAAATAAAATACAAATTGTTCATATCTTGTATTGAAATTTTTGTACTAAGTGATACTATGAACTACATAGTACTGCCCAATAAATCTTTTTTTCCAATATGTATTTAAAGAAAAAAAAAAAAAAAAGATTAGAAATATCTGGTGCACCGTAAAACACACATCCTTCGCTTGTTTTTTTTTTAGCAATTCAATACAACAAAACGCACGAATAAGAAAAAGAAAAAACAAAATCCCACACCCTAACCATTTGTTATACACACAAAATAAAAAGAAAAACAAGAACGTAATAGTATTCAAAAAAAGAAAAACAAAAGACAGGTCAATTAAAGTCTAGTGTTAAGGGAAGCATATAATCGATTAGATCAAATAGAAGCAAGGATGGTGATTATATGCAAAAAAAGAAAAATAGGTCATCTATAGGTGAAATAAAAACAAAAAAATTTTGTTCGATAGTTTTCTTGTTCAAATTAAACAGACAGCGTATATATACATAGAAAAAAAACAAAAGAAAGAAAAGACTCAATATAATTATTGTACAATTGATTTTGTCATCGTCACTGGATGTCCAACATTAGCACGAACCGGTGTATCTCGTACAGATTCAACTCTAAAGTAAAAAAAACAAAAGGGAAGATTAGATTTTTTTTTTATCACAAAAACAAAAATTATGTATTGAAAGAACAGAAAAAAATTCACAAAATTTTGTTTCGTGATATTAGTTAAGTTCATACAAACAAAAAAAAAAAAAAGATGTGCGATTTGTTGTAAAAATTAAAGTATGAAGAAAAGAACAAAAAAAAGAAAGAAAGAAGTTTGAAATAACTCACGAAGAACTACTAAAAATATTATTCAAATTACTTATTTTTTTCTTTATAAAACGATAAAATTAACGTTTTTACCTTGAACAATCAAAACTTGATAATGAATTTGCTGAATAATTTGTTTGTTCTTTAGTTTTTTGTTTTGATCTATGTCGATGTAGAAATGAAAGTTTTTTTGTTGTTGGTGTTGATGTTGATAAAAAATTTGGATTATCAACAATAAATTTATGTGTACCTAAATTTTTTGGAAAATTTTTATTTTTCTTTTGATTAATTATAGCAAACAAATTTACCATTTTCATATTCACCTAATGCATCTGCTTTAGCAACATTTGTTTTCTTTTTTGAATTTGATCGAAATAAATTTTTAAATGATTGTGATATTGAACGACTACGACGAATTGGCTTTGGATCTGTCACATTTCCAAGAAAATATTCTACAAAAAAAAATATGTCCGATACAAAAAGTAAATATATACGTAGATATGTGTATATATATATATATAGATATGTATGTGTATATTTTCCACTAACTCTATCATGCTTAAAAGTAAGGTCAAGCACATAAAAACATACCGGGGTTTGGTCCTGGTAAAGCTGTATAAAGTGATTAATATTTCAAAAGTGTAAGAAAAAAAAAAATTAATAAATCATTTGTTAATTCTCACCTGATGATAAACTATGTGAAACAGGATTAGTTTTTTGTGCTTGAATACTAGTGTTTAATTGTGAAATACTACTTGTATGTGAACTCATACTAGTATCATGTTTGTCTTTGTTACGATGTTTTCGTCTTGGTAATGTTAAATGTTTAAGTGAACTCATAAATGATTTTGATTTTTGAGGTTTATCATGTCCAAGACCACCATCACGAGGTGTTAATGGTGAAGATTGCGAAAGTGGACTTGTGTTTGAATGAATGTTTACTGATCGAGGTAATGTTGACACAAAGCCATTATCCTAATAACAAAATCATATGAATAATAAAAATTATAGAATTTCCATTCGATTCATATATAGTCTTGCAAACTAATGCAATAATCAACAAATGGAGATTGTATTCATTGTTGAAAAATTTTCAATTAGTAAATATTAGAAAATCATGATAGAGAAAATACTGAAAAACAATTAGACAAAAATATACACAACGATATAATGCGAAAAATGAAATTTTAAAATTTTAGTATTCATTCTAGGTTGAAATATTGTACCCATCAATCTACTTTACAGATGTAATGGCATGCATAAGTCAGTCAATATACATTTGATTAATATCTTTATCTACAACTAGAGTTGTCACCAACGTCGAGACAGAGATCAATGAGATGATTCCACAATCTTGAAAAATTTTCGTTTGTCTTTTCGTTAATTTCCAAAAGAAAATGTTCAACTTCATCAAATCTGATCAACTTTAGCAAAAGTTTTCTAATTGATTTCTTGAGTTATCGACTCTCATCAAAACTCCTAATGGCCTTAAAATATTCATGGCTGCAGCTATTAATCACTAAAGTATCTAATGTGTCGGAGTTTATCATATAGAAGATTACGTGTTTGTTGTTCTCCTATCAACTCTCGAAGAATACTATCGATAAATTAGCTATAATTAGGTTTATTGTTATTAAAGATATGTACCATCCTCACAGAGGCGAAAGACGACGCGGAGACAATTGCACTTTAATAGCAGCTATGACTTATTTTTTGTCGGTTGCTTCGCCCCGTCTCTCTTCTTGTTTATCTATCGGACGAACAGCCTTTGATCATGTCAGCTATTAAACTTTACTGCTAGAAATTCTTAGCAAAGAATGTATATTAACTGCTGAACAGTTAAATGAAGGAATTTAATTATTGACAGACTCATTCTTTCGACGATATCATTTGTTTTATCACCTTATTTTATACTCATTTATTACATTTATACATTAAATCGTAATCAATTGTTACATAGTAAACGATGAAAGATTATTCCTCAATCGTATACGTACACATAGCTACTGGACCTCGTCTTGTCTTTTTCTTCATTACTTTTCTTTTCTTTTCTAGCTGTTCTGCAATTTCGTCTTTCATCAATACATTGACTTATCTTTTATTTTTTTAACTCGAGGACATATTTCAGGTTTGTTTTCTCTTTTTTCTGTTAACTTAAGGACATTTTTTTTTCGATATCTATCTTCTAAGAGAGAAAAAGAAGATGATTTTTGTTTTCTTTATCTTCTTTGGTATAAATTCTTTTTTTTTTCTCAATAAACTATTCATTCGTATCATTTTCATCTAGTTCAAAATGAGCATCCTTATCTAATTTCAATGTTGATTAATATTTATCCTAATAACCAATTCACCTAATTCAAGAATTAGTAAATTTCATTATGCCGAGCATCATCTTTAAATTCACTTTAAAGTTAAGTTTAACTACAAAAAATAACTTAAGACGAAAACGAACACCCTATAAGTAAATGAATAAGTTCGATGATATTTTACCTAATAAAATATTCTTTCGTAGTATTTTCAACTTAATGTTGTTGTTCTAAGTAAGTATTTAAAAACATCATAAAGCAACAAACAAGAGGAAAAAATTGGTGAAAAAAACTCTTTTTAAATCATCACTAGATGCAACCACGCCGCGTCTATCGAACAATAATGAGGGGTGAGGCATAGTCGCGCTACCAATCAAGAAGGCTTTAGACGGTAGTCACCTCCGTCCCTAACTAGAGTCCATCGTCATTTTTTGCACTACTCTCGCTCCGCATTCTAGACATATTGTACATCTCTAATTAGTATCTGATTAATTTTTGAATGATTTATGAATAAATATTTTCCATGATTTTAATATATGTCATGTAAAGGTGTCATCTTTTTTTTGTTTTTTTGTTTATTTAACTTACATCATCATATAAACTAGATGGCAAACCATAATGTTTTGGCAGTGTAGCTGCATCGTAAGATGATGATAAGAAATCATTGGATGATGATTGTTGATATCGTTCTGGATAATCTTGTTCAATTTTATGAAGTTCTATTTGAATAAAACAAAATGAAAAAAAGAATTTATTTCAATTATATTTATTTCAAAGAAGAAATTATTATAAAAGCATATAAGTAAAAATTCTACCTCGTTCATTATATGTCCAAACTTGACTGTCAGCTATACTGTCATCATCGTATCCATTGTTAGCTATGGTTAGTTTATAGAAAAAAAGAATCACACGTATGTAATATGTTTTATTAAATGTATGAGTGTAAAGACATGCAAAAACAAAATATAGGCAGTATTACAGATAAATCAATCTTACTAGTTAATGCTTCTTCTTCAGATAAAGTTGAAAACTAGAAGAAAAAAAAAATATATATTTTTAAGTTATTATATTTTTCATTTTTTGTAAATTTTATATTGCATTGCTATTGTTATTTTTGTACGAAAATTAGAAGAGAAGTATTTTATTATGTATTTATAAGAAGAGAAAAACACGAATATTATTAAAAAAACAGTTTGCGTAAAAGTTTTTGTGATTTAAGACGATCGATTAATCGACTTTGTTGATTTTGTGATTTCCAATCGTGTAACATCGTTGGTGGTAATGATGTAGTTTTATCTTCATTATATGAAAATGAAGTTTTTACTAAACTAGATTGTGTATAAAGTAACTGATATGATTCATGAGATTTGTTAGCACTATTTGTTAATTTTGTTTCAACTGATGCCCCTAAACAATCAGTTGAATGTGTTGATGTTTGAATTGTAAAACCTGTTGATTCCATTGGCACTAATGAATATGCATTGGATTTTTTACGTATGGGAGCTTCTCTTGGTTCCAGTGGTAGTGATGAAAAACGAGTAGTGTTATCCAATTCTTTTGTTTCTTCTATTTGATCATCATCAAATGATTCTGATTGCAATAAATTTTGTGCTAAACTGCATACATCTGAACAAGAATTCGATTTAATTAATTTTAAAGTTGGAAGATATTGTCGTTGATTATTTTGAATATGTTCATGTTTTGATCGTACTTCTGGACTTGTACATAGATTTAAAAAAATTTTATTTAAATTCGTTTGACTACGACTACGAACCATGATTAAGTATGTTTGTATATTATATTCACCAATATATATACACGTAAATAACAAGCAATAATGATATTTTACTGTCTCTTTTCGTATATAGAGAAAAACGAAAATGTTATAGATGATATGAAAGAGACGGGGGAAAATACCATATAAAAGCAAATCGTAGGTATCGAAGGTGAAAAAAAAAAACAAAATATTTTATGAGTAATATGAAAAAAAACTAAACTAGAAGATAGAATATAGAGTCTAATGACAATAATATGAATGGAAATGTTTTTATCAATATGATGAATATTATTAAGTATTATTATTTTTAGATTAGTTTCATTAGCTTTAGAGAAACGAAATGAAAAAAAAAAAAAAGAAACAAAATGAACTTGTTTTTTTTTTTCCTTTAATTATACTAAAAAGAAAAAAAGTATGTGCGACATTTTCTATCATGGTAATTAAATGGTAATTTTCTCGATAGTAATTATTATTGTATAGAAAAGCAAATGTCTATGTATGTAGTCTGACCTTACCTCTAAACGAATAATGGATTCAGGGTTCTGTGGACTTATTGGTATATCTTGTTTATAGACTGTGCTTGTTGCATAAGCAAAAGGTATTGATACATCAGCATAAACAGTATCAACTAGATAAAATAAAAAAAAATATTATGTAAATATTTTTATTATAAAATAGAAATAAATCAACGAACTGTAATTATTATTCGTTCTTTTATTAGTTTGTTTTCGATCAATTATTTGTAAACGTATTTGATTACTTTGTTCATCACATTCAAAAATAAAACGTTCATCCCAAAAACTTTACAAACAAAAAACTTCTTTTTTTTTTTGTTTTGTATAAAAGAAAATAATTAACATACGGATTAAGACCATTTTTTGCAATATCTGTTTGTTTGATCTGTTTTGGATGATTTAATTCGAGAATACAATATGGTTGTTCAACATCTAGTTTATCATAAAAAAAAAAGAAATATATAAAATAATAAAAATAAAGACAAAATTTTAAAATAATTACCATGCAATTTAACAGCTTTAACAATACGAACAAGTAATCTTTTTGGTTCTTTTTCAAATTCTGATTCTTTTGTATATATATATGGATTTATATCATTAACTAGTAATGTTGGTGGAGGTTCGGGTAGTTGATATCTTATTGAAGTTTGTTCATGTGAACGAGATCCAACTGGTTGAACAGATGATGATGATTGTTGATTATTAGATGAATACTAAATAAAATAGAAATGCTTAATTAATCATTGTAGCATTATTTATGATTATAAAAAGAATACAAAAAACATATTTTGATTTTTTTTTTCCCAGTCATTTTGTTTTCTTTCACTATTAGCATTATTCAAATCTCTTGAGATTAATAATTTAATTAGAAAGCCAATTCAATACAGTAATAGATAAAAATCTATACCATTGTAAAATCTTCCATTAAATTAATAAAAATACGCAACATTCATCAACTCGTGATCATAAACACTATTCATTCTTTCAATATTATTCTTAATTATTAACTCTAATGTATGACCTTGCTAATATACTAACAAACCGAAATTGGCTTTTTTTTTATCTCAACACATACAGTTTATCAATCTTTGATTTCCATAATAATGCACGGATGGAAGTCTTTATCATCGAATTCAATTATCAAACTTCTACATAGTACGAATAATCGAATTTCTGATATTTGTTGAAAGTTCTTGTAACTAAAGCATGTCAGTTTGGTCCTGGACGAGTCTGAAAATTTTGGATCCGATAAGCTCTAGCTATCTGAGAGATGTGTAGGATGTGCTAGTCACCGAATACAAAAAAAAGCTAGAAAAACGATCTTCTATTTTTGAGACTATCATGCAAGTTCGATCAAAAAATCCTATTAGGAGTATCAAAGCACGGTACGATCGAGTTCGAGTACAACGTTTTCGACCCGATGGGCTCTAATCGTGACTTTGTTTTTTCATGTTAATGATTGGACTGTACTATGAGTTACTATTTATTAAAACAAAAAGGGACTTGTCTCATTACTTCATTTGTTTAAGTTCGACTAGGGTAAGAACTTTTATTCGTTACTGTATATCTGTGTTATTGTAATGTTGATATGTTCTTTAGAATATATATGGTAATGATTTATTTTGACAAGGTATATTATTAACTGTAAAGAACTAGTTGTTTTTTTTCTCTTTATCAACAGTTAGTAAGGATTTATTAAGTGTTCTCTTCTGTTTTTTTTTTCACTATCAAATAAATAATAAAATGTCTTACGGGTTTATTCGAATCTGGATAAGATCCAAATGCGGAATTATAAAGAGCATGATAATTTGTATCTTCTTGATGATCTGATAGACGAAATGAACAACGAACTGTTGTGCGACTAATAGTTTCGTCTAGTAATTTAACAATAGATTGTTTTTCACTTGGTAATAAAGTCTTAAGAAGCAAAAAAAGAAAAACATCATGGCTTATTTGAAGAAAAAAAAAGAAAGAGATTTTCATGTATTTTTACATTATTTGGATCAATAATATTAACTGGATTAATTTGAAGCTGTTGAAGATTAGCTTCAATTGAATATTGATTAGGATTAATAGCTAATAAAATATATAATTGACCAGATAATTTCGGTGTTTCAACAGAAAAATGTTGTTCTCGAAATGTATTAATAATATTAACAATTAAATGATCAAAATCAAGTACAGCATTAATAATCTTTAAAAATAAAAATAGAATTATTGATTTTAAAGGAGCAAAAAAAGAAAAAGAAAAAAAACATTAAACTTAATAGAATAAATATTTACAATTTTTTCAGCAGGTGTTTCACTATTGTTGTTGTTATTAGTTTGAGAAACATCACGAATTTTTGCATTAGCAAATTGTAGTGTTTCCACGCTGAGCTGTTCCTAATAAATAATAAAAACATGTTTCTCTCAATTGGCTTTGTCTATTAATTTGCTTAAGGACACACATCAGTATGGTATACATATGAAAAAACAAAGATCGTGTTGGATGATAAAATACAAACATATGTAACAAGCACAACAAAATAAATGTTAGCCTCAGTGTTTTTTTGATATTTCTATCAAGTTTTTTGTCATTCAGATTTTTTATTTCAAAAATATATACTATGTAATTCTGAAAAATGTATATATTTCTCTATGTTTCCAGAATCAAAGAAATTACATAAAACTTTTTGTTTCATTCTCGAAAGTATTTAGACTTTTGCGATGACACATTTACAATTGATTATAGTTACGATTTTACTATAGATAATTATTTAGAATGGATTAATCATCTAAATGAGTTGTAAACGTGTCATAAGAAAAGCGATAATGTTTCTAAGAATAGAAATATTTCCTAGAAAAACGTATATATTTGAAGGTTGTGTATAATCTCAATCTTTGTATGAATTAAGTTTTAGAGAAGGAGAACAATGTATTCTATAGAATAACAAAGGTGAATTTTTTTCAAAAAAAAGCAAAATCTGAGCGATAAAAATAAAAAATCGAAGATATGAAAATACTAGTAAAATCATTATTTATTTTATTTTATTCTATTCTTTAGAATTTATTTCTATTTTTTTTTTACCTTTCGATTTAAAAATTCTTCATTTAATCTTCGTACAAATTCATTACAAAATTTTTTTCGAATATGACTATTGGAATTTAATAATATATTTATAAGTGATGGAGTTGTTTTTTGTAAAAATTTTTTTCGTATTTTTATTAATATATTTTCTTTATAAGAATAAATCAATTGAAAAATTTTTTGTATATATTTTAATAAACGACGATATTCAAATATGATTAAGAAAATTATTGTTAATAGAATAAATGTTATAAGAATGCTTAAATATAAATAACGTTGATTTGTTTTTTCAGAAAGAAATGAAAAATGTAAACGAGTATTATTATAATATAATGTAAGATGATGAATTAATTGATGAAACTTATCAAGTTGACGTTCAATGAACGCATCGATTGCAGCTCGACGATTTATAGACATAGTGAATTTCTGTAGGGTATTCCTATATTGTTCCATATACCAAACATATATACACCCGACGAAAGAAACTCAATCATCATCAACATGGAACTGCTGTCGTTCGGCATTTTTTTTCATCTTTCCAAGTGCATCCGCGCGGATTTTTGTCGTTAAGAATACAGAAAACGACAGAAAAAAAGAGAGAGAGAGAGAGCGAGAGAAATCGGCATAGATATTATGTCTAGATGGTGCTTCTCGGAAACAAACAAACGCTCGATCCAACTATACACATATATGTATAAACCTTACGTGTATGATAAAAGTCTTTTTTTCCCATCGCCTGATAAAAAAACACTCTGTTAGGACGTCATTGACGAGAAGAAAACAAACAAAACTAGTAGACGTCATCGAAAAAAAAAAGAACAGCTTTGTTGACAGTTAACTAAGTCAATCGATATGTCTTTCTAGGAGAAGAGAAATATTGTATAATCTCAAGGTTAATATTGACTAGAAACAGAAGATTATTATTCAATAACTTACATGTTTCTTTAAAAATGTATTATTAATTGCTATACGATATGTTTCACTTAGATGTCTAAAACCATCATTTTTTTCATTGTGAAGCCATAAACGAAGTTGTTTTTCAATTTTTTGATCTAATCGATAAGTTTTCGTATTTGATGAAACTGTTTGTTGATTAATAAATGATGATGATGATGATGATGGTTTTTGTTCTATTGCTGTTGTTGATCTTGATAAATCGTTTTTATTCGCCGTTATTATTAGTTGTTTATTCTTTGGTGATCGATCAGAATTTTCTTGATGATGAAATAATGAAAAATGAGTTTGTTTTTTATCAGTTAAACTTGCATAAATAGCTGCTAAAATAACAACTATTATACCAATAATAGCCCAAAATCGTACAAAACGATATAATTGTGTTTTAAAATTTCGATTTGATGTTTTAAATATTAAAGCACATGAAGAATTTGGATATTGACGATAACATCTAGGTCCATTAGATTTTAATATTGATAAATAAACTGGAAATGGCGAATGATGACGATATGTATCAAGAAAATGAAGATGTTTACGTTTTAATAATCGATAACGACTTAAATGTTTGATATAATCATAACATTTAAGATCAGTATATGCTGTATAAAGAGATGTTGTATTATAACGTGGTAAATGACGTGCATGTTTTGTTGATGATGTAAATATACGTGCAAGTTTTATTTTTCCTTGATGCCAAATATTCCATGCATCATCAAAATAACCATTTAATTTTCTTTTAATTTTTTTTTTTAATTTTTTAATTAAAGAAATATTTTTCTTCTTTTTTTCATGACGCGATAGTTTTTTATGAGTAATTTTACTAAGTGATTTTAATTTATCTTTTATTTTTTCTGTTAAAATTTTTGGTTCTTTTTTTCGTTTCAATGATTTTATTCCATCATCAATAGTTTCTTTTAACTAAAACAAAAAAAAAAAAAATGTAAGAAAAATTTAAATATATATTTTAATATACAAACATGTTCAACTTTTGTATCGATCACATTTTTAACCTGAGAAACTTTATTTTCTATTGGTTCAACAACTTGTTCTTTAATTTTTGATCGAACTTGATTACTTGTTGGGATCTAAAGAATGAAAAAGTTTTGTTTTTTTTTTTGTTTGGAAAAGACAACAAAAGAAAAAGGAAATACTTGTTCGGTTGCTTCTTTAAGATATTCAGATGATTTTTCAAGAGTACTTGAAACAAAATCTTCAGCAGAATCAATAACATGAGTTGATGTTTGTTTTAATTTATCAACACTTTCAGAAATCTATTTAGGATAAAAATAGAATATTAAATTTAAGATACTTTTTTTTCTTACTGTATCTTTAATTGATTTACTGATATTTTCTGTTGTTTCTTTTTTATCATCGATAAATGATTTAACAACGTTTTCTTTTTCATTATGTTTAGTTAAAGAAGATAACTTAAAAAGAAAAACGATGCGAATTTATTCATTTTTTTTTTTTCAAAAACTTTACTTTTTCTTCAATTGGTTTAATTATATGGTCTTTAATTTGTTCAGTAATTGATGGTGATGGTTCATCGTCTTCGTCTGTTGAAGGAACAATCTATAAAAAAAAACAAAATAACCTTGAATTAATATAAATTTAAGAAGCTTAATAATTTTACTTTATTCTTAATATTTGCAGCTACATTTTTGACTGTTTCAATTGGTGTAGCTAGTGTTTTTTTAACCTTCTCAGATAACTTGGAAGATTGTTTTTCTTCTTCATCGTCAGATTCATAACCTGAATCTTCGTCATCATCAGTAGTTGAAGAAGAAAACTAATAAAAAAACAAAAGAAAAAGAAATCATATGTAGTTTGTTTTTTTTTGCATGTTGATTTTTAAGACATATTCCAGAATTGTTAACAGCAACGATAAATAATCGATTCAATTTAATACAAGATTTCTTTTTGACTGGCCTAGAATTTTTCTTTTATAGAAATTTTTACTAATGTCGAAGATTATTTCTATCAAAAAAAAACATATCATACTGTTCTATTTAGTGGAAATTCATTGTTGTTTGCTTGATATATTTCATTAACACACATACATTGATATTAAGTTATGTTAGTGAAATAAAATGAAAATAATTATTTAGTATTGTTGTATCTCATAGATTTATTTGTATTGCCTACTATTCGAAGTATATATTTTATACAGATATAGAAGATAAATAAAGCGAATATAATATGTCAAGCAATTTAAATATACAGTTAATTGATCATGTCCATACGTGATAACCATATCATTAATGTGCAAAGTTTATGAGATAATTCATATAAGCAACAACTGATTCTGATCAATCAGAAATCTCTAACTTTTGCTTGGAGTGTCAATCAATTAGTTCTTAGCTGGTGATATCGTAACCATTTCTTCAGATAAAATCTATCGAAACGTTGATTTTCTATTGCAGCGCTATGAAAATCTTAGAATATTTTGTTCAAAAATCCTAATATTTCAGTAGAGAGATCTCCTATAAGGTTTGTATCTTTACAAAAAAAAAAACCATATTCTATTGTTTGCAGTGAATTTTAGATTGTAATCGAGTATCTCTTTATGATCGTTAGTTGTGATATACATTAAATAGCTATTATATAAGATTTTTAGTCCTATGAGGATACTCTATCCACTCATAGAAACCAAGAGAAAGAAAATTTATGGTAATAAATAATGAAAATTACAATAATAATGAAAAAAGACTTTTAGATTGTTCCGATAGTAATTAGAAGACAGTTATGACTGATTGAGGATTTTGTTCAAATGTTATAGGATTAATAAACTGAAGAATAATTCAGGTCAGTATAACGATCAGTTCTAGTAAGGAAAATATTTTATCGGTTGTAACTTTAAAAAAATTCATTTGTCGCGACGAAAAATCTCAACAAATATTAGTATAGGTTGTTTTTTTGCTTTAAACTATCGATTACTGTAATAGAATGAATACAATATTAAGAAATTACAAAAAATTTCGAATTAAATATGTATTTTTCTAAAAATTGTATATACAAACTTTTTCAACAATTTTTGTTCCAATATTTTTAACTGCTTCAATTGGTTTAGTTAAATGTTCTTCTAACGAAGGAGAATGATCTTCGTCTGTATCATTATCATCAACATCATCGTCTTCTTCTTCTTCTTCTTCTTCTTTTTTAGAAGATATCTAATAAAAATCTTTTAAAATTTAATAAAAACTTTAATAATTATACAAACTTTGCTTTTAACATTTTCTTTTAATTTATGTCCAAAATTTTTCACTGTATCTATACGTTGTTTTATTTGTTCTGTTATTGTTGAATATTCTTCTTGATTATCATTCTCGTCATCTTCATCATCAGTTTCATCTGTATCTGAGATGATTGAAGAGGAGGAGCTTAATTCAATATTCTCCTCCTCATTTTCATCTTCGAAATTTTTCTCTTCAATTTTAGTATTAACATCTTCATTTTTTTTCTTTTCCCATTTTTGAAATGGTGCTTTAAGATAATGAATAATCCATCGTTGAAATCTTGAACTTTTATTATCTTGATTTGTTTCATTTTGTTTATTTGTAGGTTTTAAATTATTTATTTGATTTTTAATTGATTTATGTATTGTTTTAACTGTATGTTCAAGTTTTTCATCACTAATTAATGGTTGACGTTTTTTATTTTTATGTGGTTCTTTCTCATCTTTGAATGCATCAATAAAACGATCATATAAACTTTCACTCATTGTTTCAACAGCCTCTTTTACAGCTAATTTAGCTGTTGAAGTTTTAATAGTCGTCGTCGTCGTTTGTCGATCAATAATGTGTGTCTGTGAAAACAAAAAAAAAAAAAAAGAAAATATTAAAAACTGTTGTATGAAAAATTCTTTTGTTTTATGTACTGAAGATACTTTAGCATTTTCATTATGATGTCGAATAGATGCAGCAATAGGTATAAGAATAAATATAGATTGAAAAAGAAGAAGCACAATAAATGTTAAAATAAATAAATATCGTTTAATATCATCACGTTTTGCTTGATCATAATTTAAAATTTTATAACGTCGAACTAAATGTTGATCATAAAATTGACAAATGTTTTCATGAGAAAATTTTGATATATAAAATGATGATATTGAACATAACCAAAATAATGGAAATAAAATATCATAATCAATTGTTTTTGGTATAAAAAATCGAGTTGTTCGTACTGGAAGCCAAAAAATAATTGAAATTATTTTAAATATTAAACGAAATATTAATTTTAAAAACCAATAGAATAAAATTTGAATATGTATTAAAAAATATAATAATACAAAAAAACCAATTGTTATTGAAATAACATTTGTTAATGAATGGAAACGTTCTCTTGTAAGAATTTTTCGTTCTTGAATTTGAGCTATATAACTAGTTATTGTATTTATTAATGGACTATTCAAAAATGAATATGTTGGAGGTATTGAAGATGACATCGAGGAAGTTCAATTGAATTTGTATCTTCTAAATAGAGAATAGTTAATAAATAACATATAAATATCAATTTACAATGAAACGTGATAATATCAATGTTCTTGTGTCATGTCATTCGACGAATATGTCTTCTTTTTTTTGTCATCATCGAAGAGGATTTAAAATAGCTGCATATACTCACAGTTACAAAATGTCTTTATTATACAACAAAAGATTGTAACAGATGATTACACTCTATGGATGTTCGTGTCTCTATCAAATTGAGCAATAATAAAATGTCTATCGAGAGAAAGTAGAGAGTAGAGAGAGAGAGAGGGGGGAACGAGTACTCTTTTTTCGTCTTCTTCGCTCAACAATGTTTCATTGTTATTGTGCAGTCAAAAAAAATATATATATATTCATGTGCATGTGTGCGATGTAGCAACAACCAGAAATCCAACAGCGAGACAAAGAATGAAGAAAAAGAAAAACGAGACTGGAAGAGTCGCTGTTGCCATCGTCTTTCCTGCGTAATTCTTCGTCTACTATAAAAAGAATGTCAATAAGAAAGAAATATTTTACTACAATCTCCTCGTCTCATCACAATAAAGTTTTTTTTTTGCCACCGTAACCGTTGTGATGCTTCGCAGATTTTTTTTTCTATACTGATCATTTGCACATTTGTAAAAAAAAAACGCGATCGACCATAAAATTAAAAAAATAAATAATAAACCAATAGGCACACAAAACAAAAACCTAATTAACATACTTAGCTTTATTGTTTCACCATCGAACTGTTACAATAGAAATAATAGTCAATTTAATCTTTCTAATCTAGAAAACATTAACATAAAAAAAACAAGTTGTAAAAATAGTAGTAGAAAGGTTTATTTTTGTATTCATTATAACCTGCCCTTCTCTACGACCAAATGTTTACTAATCATTGTTTTTTTTTTTTTTTCGTTTCTTCTTCGTAGTCACCAACGCACAATGACGAAATCGAAAGAGTAAAGTACAAGCTATGCGAGAAATACACAAAATAAAAAAGCCGAAAAAAAATATATATATAAATGTTTGTTGAATTGTTACCTACTAATAAGAATAAAAATAAAGGTATGTCAAATGACTGCCGTACAAAAAAAAATGACAAAGAGACAAATGATATTTGTCAACGATTTAATATGCTTACAGGTGAGTAATAGCGCAAAAAAAAATATTTACCTCTAATTTAGAAAATGCGTGAAACTATCATTATAATTAAATTATTATTGATAAGCAAGTAGGTGGTTTTATTTCAAACAACAACAAAAAAAATATAGATTTATGCAAAGAAAAATAAAATTCTGTTTCTTTTTCTTGTTTGAATATCACAGTATTTATTCAAGTGTCGATGTGTTTGTGCAAGATTGACAATATTTGGGAAACTGATTTTTAATGTATTGTCCAATTTGATTTGCTGAATCTGCATTTGTTCCATCAACAAATAAAAGATATAGACTACAAACACCTTCATGTTCATCTAAACGTGCTTGAATGCTACATAATTTATTTGTTTGATCATTATCAGTTTTAAGACGTTTTGACGGAGGTTGTTCATCATTTTGATGACGTCGACGATGACGTTGATGAGACCATAAATTTTCATAAGCATCAAATATCCAAGCATAAGAACTAAGACTTGTCCATTTTAACTAAAAAAAAAACAACAAATAATTCTTTTAATATCATCCTTTGCATGTGAAGAAAGAATCAAATAAGTCTTAAAAAGAAGAAAAAAACAATTGGCGCATTCGACAAAAAAAAACGATTCCTATCGTGATTACGTGCCGCTTAATTTATTATGGAATTGCTAGGCACACTGGGGCTTTTTCTTTTTTGCTCTTGAAATCATTAAAGTAATGAAATAAACATAAAGAAATATACGTATCCATCGTAAAATAAAAAGAAAGAGATTTTTTCTAAAATTCATTTTTTCTCAAGCTATAAGTGAAGTTTATTTTACTCAAAAAAAAAAAAAAAGAAACAATCCTCAAATATTTCGTCAAATATAAAAATGAAAATAATAAAATAATAACTTTTGTTTATACCTCAGGAAATAAAAAGTTTATTGGTCTTTTTCTTATCCTTATTCAAGCCTAGAACAATGTCAACAAACTTACATTGAGTTCATTAAATAAATGTTTTTCTAAATAATTTTTAATAAAATTAAATGAATATTTCGGTTCAAATTGAATACTAATTGGTGTTCGATTCATTTCTTTTCTCTTTGATTTCTATGGTACACAAAAAAAAAGTACAATAAAAATTCAAATCGACAATAATTAATTATTGTATTAAAATACTTTGAGTGCTTTCAACGCTTCTCGAGAATGACATTGTTCAGGAAAATGATATGTTTCATCAAATGTCCATGCAATAGCCCAACGCATAGTATTTCCTTGACAAAATTCTGTATCAATATGACAAATATCTTGTAAATAATTTTGAATTTGTTTCAAACTTGATTTTTTACCCAATTGACTTGTAAAAATTCTAAAAAAAAATTTTTTATCAATAAATAAACTTTATTCTTAATTAATAAACTTACTAAACAATTATTTCTACCTGACATTAGTTGAATATAATCGACTTTCATTAATCATACGTTTAACAAATTCAACTTCACCACCTTGATCATATATTGATTCAATATTAGCAGCTGTATTAATTGAATTAGCTGATGGACGATCAAATTTTCTTGTATTTGTTAAACCTTGACATTCAGATGTGTCAGAAAAGAATGGTGGATTACACATAAGAAAATCATAATATTTTGTTCGATCAATTAAACCATCAAATAATGCTGATGAATTCATTAATATAACTGAAAAATAAAATTCTTATCAAAGTAAAAAAAGAAAAAAAAAGCTGTGAGAACAATCTCTGCCAGATTAGACTATGAAATACCATGTAGCTGCTATTTAGAAGATTGATTTTATTTGATCTATTTTAGGACATATTTCTTCACTAGTCTTTTAGTTAATCTTTCAAAAATGTAATGAGAAACTGGACATTATTAATATAAGAGTCTGTAATCGTATATAAATAATATTTATGATGACTTGCTGTTTACGAGAGAATTTCTTAGGCGATCTTTTTCCGACTTCAGTGAGTATTGTCTAGAGATACTAGCTAGTGTTGTAATAAAAATCCTAAAAAAGAATTTGAGTTCCTATTAAGATTTGCCTAAACTTTTAGATTTTTGTGTAATGTTTATTTTGTAGAGGCTCCAAGTTTTTCAGAGAATTCGTATTTTTGGAGCTTGATCTAATATATTGTGCATATAGAAAACTTAATTAGACTAACTCTTATTTCAAAAAAAGATGCATAGGATTTTTGTACACATTTGATAGAGACAACATATAAAGCTGCGTTTTTCGTCTTTCGAAAGAGGAGATGAAACCTCATGGAATAATCTATTACAAATTTTTTTTAACCCGATTTTTTTATGTTTTCAGTCGACCTTTTTGAACATCAACGTATCCTATACCCTCCTACAAAATTACATAAGCATTAGATTGTTAAATTTAGTTATTTAGCAGTCATAGGTATTTAAGTCCAAACTCTAGACCGAACTTTTAAGAAAAATCTGTGAAAACAATTATAATTTTGCTCTTTTTCTTATGTTAAAATAAAGCATTTCTCTGACACTTCTTCTTTTGTTTTTATAAATGTGATTAAAAATCTTCATAAGAGGTCTTAGAAAAACTTGTAATATATGATTTCATGCAACTTCATCTCTTCTTTCCCATAGTGAAAATTACAGCGTTCTCTCTTATTTCTATCAAAAGTTAATAAAAAATATCCACCTGGCTTTTTTTTTTTTTGAAATCGAAATTAGCTTTTTTAAATAGATTATCCATATAAAATGGTCGATATCTTGAAAGTTTCATATGTCAAAGAGACTTTATTCAAAAACTTCTGAATTTTCTTTTAAATGAAGTTAGACTAGTTGAGTTCTTTCAAAAACCTGGACTCTCTAACAAATAGACATTGCAAAAATTCGATGATTTGGTTAAATCTCATTAGAAGCTCTAATCCGTTTCGGATTTTTATTAAAACACTATGTAGCACGTATAGCCGAAAAAAATCATTGCAGTTTGAAGAGAGTATCTGAAGAGGTTCCTTCGTTAGATGTCTGTCACATCTTGGAGGAAGGGAAAAGGTTGAATTTCTACTTCTATACTTCAATATTCCTTTTTATGTCATGTTTCACAACAACAAACAGTTAAGTATTAATTTCTTTTCTTTTTTTACCATGAATTTGATCTTGTAATCCATTTTGTTCAACATTTTTCATGGCCATACGATAATTAAATGGATCAATTTCAGAAACAAACATTTTCCATTGAGGATTAAGACGAATTGTTAAAAGAGCATGTATACATGAACAACCACAACCTTGAATATACATTAATAAAATAATTTATATATTTTTATTGAAGAAAAATTTCTTTTCTCATACCAATATCGATTCCAATGGCATCAATTTTACGGTCTATTAAATCTTCAATCCAATGAAGATAATTTAATTTTTGTGGAATTCTTGGTATAAGACGATCTATCATATTGATCATAAAGAAAAAACAAAAGAACAATAATATTGATTAATAATCAAAGACAAATTCTTCTACCTAAACTTAGTTCTAAATTTAAATTAAAATCTTCTTTAGCTGCTGCTATTGTTAATGCACGTACAGCATTAGGATCACGAAAATCAAATGTAACACCACCATTATTTTTTTCAATTAGAAAAGATTTTAATGCTGGATGTTTTTCAGCAAGTTGTTTAAAATCTGGTGGATTCGTTCGATAACGATTTCGTATATGCATATATTCATTGAACGACATCTAAAAGATATGATTTATCGAGAGTGTTTCTATATAATTTATCATTTTGTAGATATATCTTTCTTTTCTAATTATCAAAATATTTTATTTAAGATAGAAATAATTCAAAAATATAGATGTTATATCCTCTTTTTATTCACTATATTTTTCTTATTACAAAAAAAAAGACGAAATTGCAAGGAATACATAAGAAAAACAAATAATTTAAACACGCTCAATTAATAACGAAATACCTTGACCACCTCCAATACAAGCAGCACCAACAGCATGTTTTCCTTGACGTCGTTTTAATTCATATACAAGATTTGCTGTTATTCGTGTACCTGATGCACCTAATGGATGTCCAAGAGCAATAGCACCTCCATTAACATTAGTGTTTTCATTTGGTAATTTCAAAGCTTTTTGACATGCAACAAATTGTGGTGCAAAAGCTTCATTTATATCAAATAAATCAATATCAGATATTTGTTTTTTAGCTTTTTTTAATAAATTTTCAATTGCTGGTACTGGACCAAAACCCATTATTGATGGATCAACTCCACTAACATGATATGCTACTAATCGAGCTAATGGTTTAAGATTATGTTTTTTCAATGCTTCTTCATTACAAAGAATAACAGCACCAGCACCATCACATATACCACTAGCATTAGCAGCTGTTACTGTTCCTTTATCTTTAATAAATACAGCTGGTAATTTTGAAATTTGTTCCATAGTTGATTGTGGACGTGGATGTTCATCTGTATCAAAGACTTCTTCAGCTCCTTTTTTACCTTTAGTTTTTATTGGTTCAATTTCATCTTTAAAAACACCTTTATCATTTGCTTGTTTCCAACGTTGTTGAGATTGTAATGCATATTGATCAGCATCTGCTCGTGTAATATTATATTTTTTTGCTAAATTTTCCGCTAAATTTAAAATAGAAAAAAAAAAAACAAAATATTTCTTTTATTTTTTTGGTATTATCTCTCTTTAAATTACCTGTTACACCCATTGGTGTTTTAATATGTTCATCAGTTAAACCTTGCCAAAGAGTATCTTCAAGTTTTAAATCTTGTCCTAATTTTGTTCCAAATCGAATATTTCGTACGGCATATGGAGCTTGTGACATATTTTCTGTACCACCACATAATACAATATTTGAATCACCTAATTCAATTTCTTGTCCACCAGATACAATCGACTGAAAACCTGATCCACAAAGACGATTAACAGTTAATGCAGGAACATGAATTGGTACACCAGAACGTAAGGCAGCATGACGAGCAATATAAGCAGCATCTGCTGATGAATGCATTACATTTCCAACTATAGCACTATCAATATATTCAGGTAATAAATTTGCTTGTTTAAAAGCAGCACGATTAGCAAGATCTTGTAAATGTGTAGCTGAAAAATCTTTTAATTTACCACCATATGTACCAAATGGAGTACGACGTGCTGCAACAATGTATATAGCTCGTTTGAAAACCATGATATTTTAGTTTTTGTTGTTACAATGTCCTACGGGTATACCTAGATTTACTATATAAAGTATTTAGTGAGTAAATGATGAACTTTGCTCTTACATCGTATCATCATTACATAGCATCCAATCCATTAACTACCGTACTGTGCTGTAATTTGTGCGTTTTATTAATCGAATGGAAAGAAGAAAAAAGTAGAATTTATGCCAGTCACTAGCGACCTCAATCTTAAGATTGTTGGCAGAAGAATAAGTTAGATTTGATAAAAGTCTAATGTCATAAATGACAAAAGTAGAAGATACGATATGAATATAAAACAGATGAAAATATCAAGTTGGAAAAGAAAGATTAAAAAAAATAATGAAGAGGAAAAAAAACTAGCTATTTTAAATGTCAAGAGGTAAAAAGCATACTTCTATAATTCTGAAGTACAAAAATACTGAGAAGTATAAAGAAGTATCGAGAAGCATGAAGAAGTACGAATAAATATAGGAAGTATGGAGAAATCTGAAGAAGTACGAAGTATGCTTATTTTCCCTTGATAAATGTATATTATACTTCAATTGAAATAGTTTTTTATTTTTAGAAATATTGCACATTCTTTTCGTAATAATTAATAGCAATACTAAATTTTATTTGAAAACATTTGACAATAACTATTAAAATTTTTCATAATTATAAAAATTAGAATCTTTCAACTAATGATGTTCTTCGAATATCATTTGTTTCCACCATAGATTCGGTTGTTTCCATTGCTAAATTTTGTATACCATAGCATAAATCTAACCATTCAGTATCTTCATTTGAACATGTACATGTCAATATCTTAATACATTTGATCAACCATTTACTTCGACTTGGTGATATTGCCGATTGTATTTGTTTGATATTACTAATGTTTGTAAGATATATCACTTTAATTTTTTCTTTTCCAGTTGATGTTTTTCTTGAAAATATTGTTGGTGTTTCAATAATACGTGTAATTAAACGCATATTAGTTATAGTTGTTATTTTGGAACTAAAACAACAACAACCTAATTTATAAGTATATTCAAATCGAATATATTCATTAGGCAATAATCTATATATTGAATCTGTTGATTTGGGTTGCTTCATTATTGAATAATTAGACATGTTCCTAGGAAAGAAACCTATAGAAAAATAACATAAAATATATTCAATTTTGTTTGAAACGAGATAAAAAGAATGATGTATGGATTTTTTTATGTTTACATTCTGTCACGTATATTATGAAGCAGTTGCTTTTTATCTTTACAGGCGCGTGTTATTCTTATATTTTAAATCATAATTTCCTTATTATATATTCATTCTATCAAGATAAAACTAATGTCTAATTTACTAGTACAAGGTAAAATGAATGAAAACTCGAATGTATTTAAGAATAAATACGATTGATTATAGAAGAAAAAAAGAAAATATCGGAAACGATTAATCAACATTTAACAAAATCTTTTTCATTATTAACTTCTCCTAGAACATCAATTGTACATCAATATAGTTCTAATCAAATCTTTGAAAATACATTCGATGAAAATAATAAACAATCTGAACAATTATCTTTTCTTCATCAAATAACTTTATCATTTCATCAATCAATTCATCATAAAAATCAACATAATAAATATATTAAACAAACAAATATAGATTCTATTGAAAAATATTTAGCTAACGAAAGTAATGAGTCAGTTAATATACAATCAACTAGTTGTAAGTTTGATAATCGAAAATTTTTATTTGCAACATTTTCTTTTCAAATTTCTCAAGTCACTTCCGATAAAAAATATTGTCATGAATTACTTAATCGAATATCAACACTTTGGTTTGGTTCTAATGCTGAACGACGACAAGTATTTGATTTACTCGAACAAAATCAAATTAAATGTAAAATACTACCAGAATTTATAGCACATTTAGCTCATTCATTTTCGAAACATGCTATTGATATTCATGATATATCAATACGTAAAACCATGTTATATGAAGCATTAGAATTAAGTAAAAAAGCATTGAATTCTAATGAAAATTGTGCATTATGTCATTTTTCATATGGACATATTATTGGAGTTTTATTAGATATAAATGATTTTTCATTAAAAGATAAATTAAATAAAGCATCTTTATTTAAACATCATATGAAAAAAACAATTGAAATTGATAAAAATTTTTATGAAGCATATGCTTATTTAGGTCGATATGAATATACAGCATTTAATTTAAATTTATTTGAACGTAAAGCAGCATTATTATTAGGTTATACAATTGAAGGAAATTTAGATAAAGCATTAGAATATTTTCATATAGCTATAAAAGGAAATTATGATATGATACATACAGTTTATTTATTAATAGGAAAAATTTATCAAAAGAAAAAACAATATGTTGAAGCAAAAAAATATTTAAAAATATGTATACAAATTCCAATACAACGAAAAAGTCAAACTAATATTGTAAATAATGCAAAAATTTTGTTGAAAGATAAAAAATTTGAAAACTTATCGTTTGAAACTTTCATTAATCATCTGAAAAATTAGAATCTATATTCATTGATTAAGTTAGAAATTTCTATTAAGATTTCTCTTAACATAATAATCTCTAATATCAATATTTTAATTGACCTTTAATAGATACCAACAATTAAATATCTTTTGAGTTTTAGTATTTAAAATTTTTTAACTAAATGATTTTGAAAAATCACGCCGAGATTGTACCTAATCAAGTTAAAACGCTATCATTGATGGTTTAACTAAAATCATGATACATATTGCACGTTCACCCTTTTATTTAGATTAATTTCATCAGCAGTCATATATAATCATTTTTTCTTTTAAGTATATTTGATACAGCATTGATAAACACTTGAAATTTATTGCTTAGTTCATGATAAGACAAAACATGTTCTTTTATCTTTGATTAAAGTCATTCTTTTGTTCTAAGTCAAGAGAATTGTGAGATATCGATTCTTATAGACAATTAAGATTGAGAAGCTATTCAAAAAAAGACAACAATATCAGTTTCTTCATTCATTTTTGCTTTCATTAAATAAAAACCATAGAGTCAATTAATCTTTTTGACAATCATCTCGACAGTTCCAATCATATAATTTATTCAAATGGCGTTTTATATTGAGGTTCACATCGACAAGGTCAATAAATATAGACAGAACTAAAAACATATGTTCACGTTCAGAATCAACGATTGTTTATAAAAAAAGGAAAACGGTGAAAAACCAGAAAAACTCGCATCGAGAGGACTCGAAGAGTATTCAGTACAACAGGATGTTCACTGAGTTAGTAATCAATTATGTTTTTGACATTGATAAAGATTTCAAGACTGTATACTAGATAGAACCAATCTTAGACAGCATAGAATAAAAACGATCACACTCTTAACAATTCATTATTCTTAAAATACTTAATTTTTTAAACATTCATACATGATAATCGAACCATTCGAGTATAGGTATGTGAATATGGCTGTGTTATGCGACTGAGGATCTTTTGGGTATTCATTAAGCACATGCTCCACCGTAAATACGCTAAACATTTAAGCTGGTGTTCCTCTCTATAGAATAAATGTTCCACCATCTAATTAATATATCGCATATGGACGTATAGATAGCGTCACTCATAGAACAAAAGTGTTTCTCTCGATGAGTTTAATATTTCTCTTATAATTGCTATGAGTTTACGATAGTTGATACTACTATCCAAGGCAGACTAATGATTATCAACAAAAAACATCGAAACAAACAGAAGTGAGAGATGAATAAGATTATAATGAGAAACATTATTTCATTCAATAACGTCGAACGTCCTGAAGTATCGAGAATAACATGTTATTATGAACAGATCGATACCAGTATTCCGCAAGATAGGATTTCAACAATGTAGATCCTCGCATAATTCGAAGAATTTTTGTCTTAGTGTATGACCATAAGAATTCAATTAAGGTGGTCGTATCCAAATGATTTTTGCAACCTTGAATAGACTTCCCATTCGTTTGATCAGATGTTCGTACTCGGACAGACATGTTTTCATAATAAAAGTAGGCGTTGTTACATCTATCCTGACCATTATGAGTTATAAGAGGAACACTATACTCATGAGGTAGAGCACTTTCGTTCTATGACTGACACTATCTATACGTCCATATGTGATATATTAATTAGACGGTGGAACACGTTTTCTATAGAGAGGAGCATCATCTTACATGTTTAGCGCATTTGCGGTGGAGCACCTGCTTAATGAATGCCGATCTTGTGTATACTCTCATCATTACTTTAACCCATGCATCCACTTTTGATGCTATTATGATTTTGTATGTGTTCGTACATTATTAGATCAAATACCAGAAATTTTAGATTTGAAGAGGATCATTGAAAAAACTGTTTTAGAAACAAACGAAAACAAATCTTACCAATATCTAACAATGATTCAATCAAATAACCTCTTCTTATATTCAATATCGACTCATTATGAGAATAATATTTTTTTTTTTGAAAACTCATGCTTTTTCAATCTAAACAATAACAAATATATATCCTGCTTGTATAATTTTTTTTAATGTTTGATTTAAAAATTAGGATATTGATAACTTTTTTGTGCTATGAGTACAAAAAAACCATACAACTTCATCGACAATGATATATATTAGCACAATTTTATCACAAAAAAAAAAGAAAAAAACTGCAAATCCACTAGAAATAACTGAGTAGAATTTATATATTTTTTTAGGTCTCTGATATTTTTTTAAATTATCATATTGATTCACGATCAAAATTTAAGTTGTTTGGGTTTTTCCCATGGAAATTCTGGTCGACCAAAATGACCATAACATGCAGTTTTTGTATAAATTGGAGATTTTAAATTCAGATCCCTAAGAAAGAATTTTTTTTTTAAATAAAATATATCCACGAAAAAAAAAACTTCCAAGACTCACCGAATAATAATACCAGGACGAAGATCAAAATTATTTTTAACTATTTCAAGTAATTCTTTATTTGATTTTGATGATGTACCATATGCAAATACAGTAATTGATAAAGGTTCAGCAATAGCAATACTATATGCTACTTGAACAAGACAACGACGACAAAGTCCTGCTTTAACAAGCGATTTTGCAGCCCATCGAGCAGCATATGCTCCTGATCGATCAACTTTTGACGGATCTTTACCACTAAATGCACCACCACCATGAGCACCCCATCCTCCATATGTATCAACAATTATTTTTCTTCCAGTTAAACCAGCATCACCTTGTGGACCACCAATTTCAAATTTACCTGAGGGATTTAAATAATAAATAGTTTTATCATCTAAAAAAAAAAAAAAAAAACAAACAAAAGAATAATTAATCAATTTATTTCATTCATGTATTTGATTTAATCTTACCAAGAAAATGTTTTGGTACAACTGCTTTAATAACTTTATTAAGAAGATCATCTCGTAATTGTTCTTGTGTAACTTCAGGACTATGTTGAGTTGATATAACAATAGTATGAACACGTTGTGGTACACAAGCACCTTTATCAAATTTATATTCAACAGTAACCTATACAAAGATTTATTTTTTATTTCAAAATTATTTTTTTTCTTAGTATACTTGAGTTTTTGAATCAGGTCGAAGATATTCAAGTTGTCCATTTCGTCTTAATTCAGCCATTTTAGCATTAAGTTGATGAGAAAGTACAACAGTTAATGGCATACATTCTTCTGTTTCATCTGTTGCATAGCCAAACATTAAACCTTGATCACCAGCACCAATATCTTCATCAGCTTTTTTTTCATGCACAGCTTGTGCTATATCAGGTGATTGTTGTTCAAGTGCAACAAGAACATTCATTGTTTTATAATCAAAACCTTTATCAGATGAATCCCAACCAATATCACGAACAGTATTACGAATTATTGTTTGATAATCAAGAGTAGCTTTCGATGTTATTTCTCCACATACTAATACCATACCTGTTTTTGTGCATGTTTCTATAGAAACAAACATTATGTATACAATAATTTTTCTATGATATCAATAAATCAAATAATAAACTTACCACATGCTACTTTAGCACTAGGATCTTGACGCAAACAAGCATCGAGAATAGCATCACTAACTTGATCACAGATTTTATCTAATAAGCACAAATAAATTGAAGTTTTTTGCTTTTTCAAAAAGATAACATGAGGTCAAAAACATTTAATATTTGATAAGAAACTTCCTCTTTTTTTCTGGATTAGAAAGTACAATTATTAAAGCACAGCTTGTTCTTTTCTCTTCTTTAACGCAATTCTTTCACTTCCATGCTATGTTTAATTTCATTTCAATTTATGCAAAATATACTCATAGCCTCGGGTGACACTTTTATGACTCACCAGGGTGACCTTCGCCAACAGACTCTGACGTAAAAAGAAAGACTTCACCATCTGCTTTGTCCGATTCCATGATGAGGGCTTAGGTAGAAGATATGTTTTCTAAAAAAAAAAACAAATTGCAAAAATTTTGTATTAAAAGTCCTTATATCATATAATTTTTTTTTTTGTAATTATAATAATAACAATACATAGTGAGTTACTGTTACGAAACACCCCGTCATCTAAATAGGGACAAAACTTACGATTAAGTGTTCTTGTAGAAAATAGGCACGTTTTTCTTTCCTTCTTTTTTTTTTTTTTTACTCTTGTTCTTTTTTTTTTCTTTTGATTTTTTTGTTCAAATTATAGTTAGACTTATACATTATTAGAAACACGCGTGACAATTGAGGTATAAGGTCATATTAGTGAAAATATGTCAAATAAGACGATGAAAGGACAAAGAAAAATAACAAAAACGTCAACATGATTATTGTCATCTTTCTTTATCATGGGTATTAATCAAAAAGATGATTCAACGCATAGACATATATGACAAAATATGAGATATGAAGAAAAAAAATCTAAAGAATAAAGCATAATACTCAATGAATTCGATTATCGTTCCGGAATAATTCAGAAGTATACTAGCTTAGAAAGAAAAAAGCAATATGGATTTGATTTATGAATAGAGTAAGATTCATGCTGTTCCTGCCTGTGAAGTTACAAAGAATGAGACGACTACCGACATGGCCGTCTTTTTTCCTTTCTCTCTCTCTCTTTCTCCTTGTTTTTTCTTTCTTTCTTTCTTTTCCTTTTTTACTACACATGTACGTACGTTTGGTTCGCTTTGAGAGTATCAACGACACGAAAAAAAGAAATAGAGAAAAGAAGAAGAAGAAGAAAAAAAAAAAAGAACGTAAATGATAATCATCTCGTTCTTTATGCACTATATTTTCACAAGGATATTTTCAATCAGTCAATCAAGTTTGTAAATAATCATAATTGTCGATTAATGAAAAGAAAAAAAAAAAAAAAGAGATAAACGTGAAAGAATGATCAGAGAGAATACTTTATTTTATCTAATCAATGAAGGTTTTAAACATACTTGAAATTCAATAGATGAATGACAAGAAATGACGAACGAATACATACAAAGTAAGGTATGTAAACAAATACGAAAGTCA